ACAAAGCCACCGCCTTGCCGCGGAGCCACACAGCCCGACACGTAGATCTTAATTAATATCTTACAATAGTATTAATATACGGAATTTATAATGTTAGTTTTGAGGTTAGTTTTCGTAATTACTCTTTAATTATTGTATACTATTAAGTATTATAAAAAATAGAGGTAGGTTAACAATTGCATCGAAAGATGTCCAATCAATTTGTCACACATGTGAGTTTCGTTACAGAACAATAGAACATAAGTTGCAAAGCACCGATATAACACAATTCCGCAATAAAATTTTCATACTCGTTAATGCATCCGTATTTACTGATAAAGAACTTTTCGATCACATCTCAAATCAAGATCTATTTTTTAATCATAGAACAGAACTGATTCGACTAGTTATTAACAAATATCTAAAAATTCGAATCCATTATACGAATAAACAAATTTGTGAAAAAGATAATTATATCAGGCACAAATATACAAAACTTATATTGTTCAATAACCAATAAATAAATATATAATTTATCATTAGCACTCAAAGACATTTCTTATTCATCATTTAATAAATGGGTAATTATACAGAATCACTCAAGCAGCTTAAAAATCGATCAAATTAGGCTTATTCGACGCGTTTTTGCATGAAACGAAAGAATCTGGCAGAAAAAAGTGTCGCTCTGCCCTACAAACCGAGATATTTAGCGTTAAAGTTCGAGATTTTAGAGGTTAAGATATCTGTCACTGCTTTAAAAATAACAAATTACTGCTTTAGAAACACAAAAACACTGCTTTAAAAATACAAATTCACTGCTTTAAAAAACAATTTACTGCTTTAAAACAATAGTGGAGTCCCCCCGCAGGGAACCCACTGTATCCACGCAAACAGTTTTACAACGTAGATATAACATGCGTGGATGCAATAAATTCCGCCCCTCCTGCGGGGAGGTTCCACTATTGTTTTTAAAGCAGCGAATTGTTGTTTTTACAGCAACAGTACAATCATAGAGGGACTGAGGAAGCGGAACATATTGTATCCACGCATATTACTTCTACGTTAAAAGTGTATGCGTGGATGCAGTGGGTTCTGCCTCCCCTGCGGGGGGGGCTCCACTATTGTTTTAAATTGAATTAAATTGTATATAAATGGAACTAAGTGTCTAGGTATTCGCCGTCGAGGATATGGGTGTCTAGGTGTTCGCCATCGAGGAAATAGGTGTCTAGGTGTTCACCGTCGAGGAAGTGGGTGCCTACGTGTTCGCCGTCGAGGATATGGGTGTCTAGGTGTTTGCCGTCGAGGAAGTAGGTGTCTACGTGTTCGCCTTCGAGGAAGTTTGACTTCGATTTTAATTATGGACTTGTTGCTTCTTATGTATTTTGATAAGGTAATAGAGTTCTTGTTTTTATTAATTAATTTTTTATTGCCGTGAATTTCATTAATTTATATAATTGTTATTAGGATCAATTTATGTTTGTTTCAACATCTGACTCTTTCTATACTGATTTATATGAAGAATGCGTTTTTATCTTAATTCTGTAATTGTAATATTGAAGGTAATTGTTTTTTAATATTAATTTTTTGGTTATAATTTTATTAATTTGTAAATAATTTTTATTAGGATCATTTTTAATGGAAGAAGAATGCGTTTATTTTTTATTTCAACTTTATTATTTGTAACACTGATAATGAACCAATTGGGTTCGAAACGTTTGTTTTTCTGTTACATCGATGGCATAAAATAGACGAACACGTAAGTGCGGTTAGATATTTTCTGCTTTATTACACAAATTCTCTGCTGTAATTCTGCTGTAAGAATATCTACAAATTATTTTCTATATAATTATTTTCTTTTTATAGCATTTATATTGTTTTTTAAAGCAGTGAATTTGTATTTTTAAAGCAGTGTTTTTGTGTTTCTAAAGCAGTAATTTGTTATTTTTAAAGCAGTGACAAATATCTTAACCTCTAAAATCTCAAACTTTAACGCTTAATATCTCGGTTCGTAGGGCAGAGCGACACTTTTTTCTGCCAGATTCTTTCGTTTCATGCAAAAACGCTTTGAATAAGCCTAATTTGATCGATTTTTAAGCTGCTTGAGTGATTCTGTATAATTACTAATAAATGTATAAATTATCACTTGGCTGTCACTTAAATGTTTTTCTTATTATAAATTGAGATTTATTAGCCTTTTCACTTTAACCTTAAATTCATATATCAAATGTATACTGCAGCCACGAAATAAGAGAGAAGGAGATCGAACTCTGTGAAACGTAAATGGTCCTAGTCCGTGACCCCTAATTGGGAGGGAATTCGCTGAAAGGAATGGATTCTTATGGTTGGGCGCCATTTTTAACTAACCTTACCCGAACAGTCCGGCCTGCCGCTGGCTTGCTCAGTTCCGACGAACCATCCGATCGTTATGGACGCGTTTCGGTTCGGGTGCTATTCATTGTATATTTTTGAAAGTGGTGCCGACTTTGACTGTGCATTGTATCATACAGATGCGTGTCCGCGGTTGAGTTCGTCTCGATTGTTCGTCATTTTGCACCTGCTCGGAAGATAATATTACGGAAATTGCCAAATATCATGGAGGAGAACTTTGCAAGAAAAAAAAACGATAATTGATAGATTAGATAAGTAATAAAAGATTACCACAAGGATGTTTTTTCTATGCAAGCGAGCAAATATAAATAATAACATTGACTAAAGAGCAAACGAAAGAAAGGAGAAAATGTTCCAAGTTGAGTCAGGCAAGTAATAACCTGAACAATATGCAATGTTTAATTGATCCAATCTGTGAAGAAAATGCGACATATACTACTATTAAACGAAAACCGGCTAGAAAAAGAAAATGTCAAAAACAAATGGCAGTAATAAATAAGGAAAATGTATATGACGAAAATAAAAAACAGAAAACAAATTATAAATTTGTAATTTTATTTCCTTTTTCCATTTGTATAAAATATAAATTTAGATGATTTCAAATATATATTTTGATAGATAATACAATTGATTGAAAATTTATGTACACAATTAAAACAGGATGTGAATTAAATTGAATCCACAGTTTCTAAAATATCGATGAACTCATTAATACTTGTTACTTTAATATGTTTTGAAAAGGGCATAATCTTGTCATCAATATAAATATTTATACGTAAATTTGGGAACACAGCAATTCTTTTTCTGACACTATAATCACTTTCTACCTTCATAAAGCCAAAAAATGTGTCATTTCCGCTTGTAAATCCCCAATTCAAAAAAGGCAATTTGACTGAATGTAAATTTCTTTGCAAAGATTTGAATTTCAATTTATCTGTCTCATGCTCCACTTTCCTTGAACTTTCTTCCATTATACGACTGAAAAAATACTACGCGTTATTCACTTTTGCTTAATCAAATTTACTTGTTTACTTTCATTTACTTACCTTTCTGTTTCACTGCTGTCGACGTGGATACCTTCCATTTTCTGTTATCAGAATATGTTATAATGATTCACACAATTATAAAAGAGACTTTATTTTGCTTGCAAGCAGAAGCAATGGATCAGACCGGACTGTTCGGGTAAGGTTAGTTGCAAATGGCGCCCAACCATAAGAATCCATTCCTTTCAGCGGACTCCCTCCCAATTAGGAGTCACGAATCAGGACCACTTTTTCAGCTTGCGTTCTATTAAGTTCGGTCTCCTTCTCTCTTACTTCGTGACTGCAGCTGACAGCTGTGTATAATTCGCTTGCGCGCGCATTCCCTCCCTACAGTCATGCGCATTACCAACTACGATCTTAATCTATTTCTCTCTGTCAATCTACTCGCCTTCACTTTCAAGAGACTATGCTCCTTCCAGTACTATATGTTCTAAGATTTTGCCGCTTGCTGCTTGCTGTTCGTTCGGATCAACTTCAACGAACTGCGGCAAAATGCATTTTGCGCCGGAAGTGCGTCATCTAGCTTACATAAAATTCTTAACCAATAGTAACGAATTGCTGCTGCAGCGTGCTGCGCATGAAAAAGCACCTTAACAAAAGTCAAATGAGAACAAAGATGAAAAACGGCGCGACTCGAACGAACACCGGGCGGGCGGGCGCCAGCGTCGACGCAGGTTAGGTTTCTCTGTGTTGTTATTGGTGCTACCAGTGCTACTATCTACACGATGAGTAACACATTTCGCATAGAACTGTCGGAAATCGGCCAGCAAATCACACATACCGCCTGAAAAGTGTCCTTTTCTGGTCTATTTGCGAAATAACTCAACGGCTTGAGTTATTGGCTATTTACCGCACGCAAAAGCATTGCAGTATAGGGCACATTACGTGCACGCGTGAGGAAAAGATATTTAATTATAGATTGAGCCGTGCAAGAAGAGTTGTGGAGAGTGCTTTTGGTATATTAGTGAATCGATGGAGAATATACCGAAAACCAATAATTGCAAATATCAGCAATGCACACAAAATTATACAAGCAACTGTAGCACTGCACAATTTTATCATTCAAAACGAAGAGAAATTTACTGGAAAAAAAGCATATTTACAATTCAATACAGAAAATGAGCATACATACCATCATGTTGTTCGCAATATCCCATCTTGTAGAGGTCGAAATAATAACGATGCTATTCCAATTAGACAAGCTTTTTTGACATATTTTTATGGTACTGGTGCATTATCTTATCAGTGGGAAAAAGCATTGCTGAATGATTTTTAATGCATTTGTATTTGTAAAAGTAAGTTATAAAACGTCTTAAAATAAACATACGTGAAAAGTTTTAAACATATATTATATACACGATATATGATCTTTAAGAAATTTATTTAATTGTAAAGGTAATGACACAAAACATTTTGTTTGAAAATAAAACTTTATTCAATATATAATATATAAATATGCAAATGTAATGAACCAATAACACATAATAAAATTTAAATAAAATAATATTTCACATAACATTTCGTAAAACATTTTAATAACGACATAAAATATTTACGGCATAAGGTTTATATCAGTTCAGATAATTTTTCTTACTCCTCCATAATCATGTGAAAAAATTTCAATTGTAATTTCGTTCGTTCTCTATATGGCAATTTTCTTAATCCTTCGCTTAGTAATAGTAAAAATCCATCAAGTCCATCAGGTTTCTTAGTGTCTTGTAATGCTGCGATAACGGCTTCGTGTAAATCTTCATCCCTACTCTGTTTGTCAATCTTTCTTTCTGAAATATTATTATAAATTTCATAATTTTTTTCTGAAATATTATTTACACATTTCATAAAATTTGTAATCAATTAACTAATATTTACTTTTACTTGACTCGAAATAGCCACTTTCTACAGGACTTGACAGCGGTGTGTTCGAAACATTACTGCATGATGGTTGAGACTCCAATATAGGAGACTCAATGGTTTTATTTTCAATCTTTTCATCTTCACTTATATTTTGAATATTTGATGCAAGATTAGTACATGTTCTAGACAGAAAAATGTCACTTACTTATTTTTGCGTCACATCTTAATAAGAAATAATAAAAAATTTTAAAAAGGACAGAACTAAATAACAAAATCAAATCTGAAGTATATTTTATATGAATACTTTGATACTTTTTAACATTGCATTTATTTAACTTACTCAGATTTTCCTAAGACATCTGTCAAAAACTTCATTTGTTCATAAAATCTGAAAGAACTTCTTCTTTTATTTAATGTTTCAGCAGCAGACCCACTTGGAATGTAAGTATTTTACTTTTTTTTTGCTTTTATAAAACAATCCCTAAGATATCGCCATCTTTTTTTAGCTTCACCTACATTTAGTGCCCCTATAAACAGACAATTCACGATAGTTCTATTTATTTAACTTTATGTTCTACGATTCATGCAACATTGTCTGCATTCCGTTTCAGGCATATGCGTACATTTTATATAGTGAGCGTCATATATACTATAGGGGAATGCACGCATATGCGCACATTATCCACTATAGTATATGTGACGCAGCCATCATATGATTAAAATATACGAACCTCCTAATGAGTTACATACTTCTTGCCAAAGTAAATTTTTTTTTAAAGTACTTCTATTACTTGCTGGTATGCGATGATCAAACAATGCTTTTCTTTGGGATACATAATATATTAATAATTCGTCAGTGTCTTCCAGACTGTTGCACATTGGATCCAACCTCGTTTGCGAGAGATACTGTAACAGTGAGAATAATATTAACAAATAAATACACGAAACCTTCCAATCATTTCAGATACGTTTAGAATTTCTATTAATTTGTTTTCTTTACTATTTTTTATATTAGATGTAGTAAAAAGAAATCTATTATTTTTGCATGAAATTGAAGGCATACATAATGGATTTATTTTTACTACACCTACTATAATTGTAAAAGAACTGATTCTTTGTACTGTCTTTTTTTTCAGATTGAAAGAAAAGGCTTGTTATTATTTTTACGACCGACTGCTGCCAACCGAAGGTTAGTTACAAAACAGTAGGAAGTGAATTTTGAATCTTCCTGATTTAATGAAACCGTCTGACGTGATTGCTGACCTGATATCTCTTTGGTACATTCACACATTTTAAAATCACCAAGCACGCTTCTGATTCATGGATTTACCATGAAATTATTAAAGAATCTCTTCGATATCGTATCAGATAAGTTTTCTAATATTTGTCCTCTCTTTTCTCTACATAATTAAAAAAGAACTAATTCTATGTGTTGTATTTTATTTTCAGATTTATTGAAAGAAAAGGCCTGAATCCAATCTATCTGTAAATACCTACCTTTATACTTTATATTTGATAGTTATCTCAATATTACTCTATGAAATAATTTATTATCGGGTCTCTATTACATTTGTTCTATTTTTTACAATATCTTTACAAGTATATCCTGATAAATAATACATTATTTCATAGAATAATTTTGAGATAACTACCAGACAAATAAATAATATTAAAGTAAAAGGCAACTCACAAACTAAACACAGTGATGAGAAAATCAAGATTACGCTAAATAAAGAATTATTTGTTTTTTTTGGAAACATTGCTTTTTAAGGACATTGACAAATAATTTTCTGGATATTTTAGTAAAAGGTGTCACGAGTGCTAAATTGCACAAGTGACAATTGCGCCATAACTGAGAAATAATGAAGACGAGAAATAAGAATAATATAAATTAATAATATAAATGAATCGCGAACGCAACTCGATTGCGCGATCACGCCCTCGACCGATTACCGGAACGCGCGGCGAAATAAGTTTAATAATAAGTTTAATATAATATTAAAACCGCGAGCGCGACGCGATTACGCGATCACGCCCTCGACCGATTAGCGGAACGCTGACGGGAAGCGCCGAATATGAAGGTCAGAGACCTCAATAATTCAAATAAATATGAGAAGACCGATGCAGAGTAGAGTCAGTAATTTTAACAAGTTGTAGCGCGTCACTCTGCTCGAACACGAATTAAAAGTTAGATCGCGACACGCGTAGTGTAAATGATTTATGTGAAATAATATCTTTGTGTATTAAAGTGGATTCAATAAAGTTTATTCAGATATTATTAAAAGATATATAAAAAGAAAAGAGTGATTAATAATTATTGGCTGCTCCCGAATCCTTGGTGGATCCCGAATCCTGTGTCGCAAGTAGCGGCACAACAAAGGTATATACAGACAGATTGGTTCAGGCCTTTCCTTTCAATAAATCTGAAATTATAATTCAGTATAAAGAATAGAATTTCTATTAATTTGTTTTCTCTATTCTTTATATTATATAATTGTAAAAGAACTGATTCTTTGTACTGTCTTTTTTTTCAGATTGAAAGAAAAAGCCTGTTATTATTTTTACAAAACAGTAGGAAGTGAATTATGAATTTTTCCCATAAAATATATCGTTTAATTAACTAGTCTTTAAAAATTCTATCTCTAAAGGTCTAAGAGGTACCATCCTTATACACTTATTTAATTCTAATGACATGTATCTTTTGTATGTATATACCATATAAACTTACCTTTTTAAAAAAAAAAGGGTAGAAAAAAGCGCTAAGAGTGGGTGCTGCTGGACAAAAAACCATTTGGGCCAGTTTCATCAACGTCAATTACTTAATCGACTGTGAAACTGACCAATCACATTTGCTGTTTAATAGAACCATCTTTAAAAACCTACGTGATATTATCCTTATTTAATTAATTCTAATGACATGTATCATTTGTATAAAAGATTTGATATCAACAGTCGGCGCCAAGTTATTCTACCTTATTACTTACTTAATTTTAATGACATTTATCATTTGTATACAAGATTTGATATCAACAGTCGGCGCCAAGTTAAATTTTACCAAATTAAAAAGTAAAACACAAGTAGTACCTTTAATCTTTAAGAACCAATATAGTACTATTATTTAAATTCCACTAAATTAAAGAGTAAAACCTAAGTGGAATTATCTTTATCTTCATACAATGAAACCTAAGTATATGCCTTTGTATTCTTATTAAAAGATCTGGCTATTCGAAATCAAGTGATTTAATTCTTCTTTAAAAAAATTATATCACAATTTAAAAAAAAAATGAAAAAGATTTATTTAAATAAAAAAATTTTTTATGTAAAAACACTTAAACAGTAAGGTTTTTAAAGATGGTTCTACTAAACAGCAAATGTGATTGGTCAGTTTCACAGTCGATTAAGTAATTGACGTTGATGAAACTGGCCCAAATGGTTTTTTATCCAGCAGCACCTGTAAACTTACATTAACATTAACTTATAAAATTACATCTCAACACTATCCCTTAATTTAATAAAGTTACATGTTTACTATTAAGTTATGTTTTAAAGAAACATTCTGTTATAATATAATGAACGAAATTGAATATTAATTTACTAAACTATCTCTGAAATTCTTAAATTTTATCTGAGAAAGAGGCTTAGTAAAGTATCCGCTATTTGATTATCTGTTGGACAATAATTTAAAGTTGCAATTTGTTTCTTAATTACATCATGAACAAATCGATATTTAATATCTATATGCTTCGATCTATCATTTATCACTCCATTCTTTATCATCTTAATTGCGCTTTGATTATCCATATAAATCTTAATTTTTAAAGGCTTGTTTATCAGTTCCTCAAGAAGAGTTTTTACATACAATAATTCCTTACAGCAATGTGCTGCAGCTACATATTCTGCTTCCGTACTTGAAAGCGTCACTAAACTTTGTTTCTTCGAGCACCAAGCTACTGGTCCACCTCCGTAGTAGATGACATATCCAGATGTGCTGTGTCTTGTTTGTGGATCCCCTGCGAAATCTGAATCAGAGTATGCTTTTAGAGAATCTTCATCTGCTTTGGTTGTGAATTCTATTCCTTTATTAATGGTCCCGTTTAGGTATCTTAGAATACGTTTTACATTTATTATTTTCCCTTCAGTTGGTTTTTCAACAAAACGACTTGTATATCCTACTGCGTATGACAAATCAGGCCTTGTTTTCGTTGATAGATATAAAATGCTTCCGATTGCTTCTCGATAAGGATACTTTGTATTTATTAAAGTTGTATCATTATTGTTAACCTTTTGAATTGGAGTTGCTGTTGGTTTAGAATCTTCCATTCGATAACGTTGAAGCACATTTGTTGCATAGTTTGTTTGTTTTAATTTAAGTCCATTTTTAGTTCTTCCTATTTCCATTCCAATGTATGTTTTCGGTTCCTTTTCTATTCTCACTTAAAATTCTTTCCTTAAATCAGCAATTACATCATTTAATCCTTCTAGACTTTCACCAACTAAAACACCATCGTCAACATAGATGCCTAAAAATAGATTGTCATAGTCTCTCTTGAATAAACATGGTTCTGACTTTAATTGCTTAAAACCTTTATTCTTTATGAAAGATGTAAAACGATTATTCCATGATAGTGGAGCTTGTTTCAGTCCGTATAAAGCTTTGTTTAATTTGCAAATTTTATTTAATTTATTATAACCTTCCGGCAAATACATGTAAACATTTTCATTCAAGTTTCCATAGAGAAAAGCAGTTTTAATATCAAATGTTACTATTTTGTATTTTCTTATTGTTGCCAAGGCAAATAAAATTCTTAGCGCTGTTATACTTACAACTGGACTATATGTCTCTCCAAAGTCAATTCCAAATCTTTGTTTACATCCACGTATCACTAAACGCGCCTTGTATCTTCCATCCTGTTTAATTTTAAATAACCATTTGCTTGTTAACGGTTTTATATCACCTGCTTGTGAAGTATCTACCAAAGTCCATGTATTATTAGCTTTAAGTGATTCTTTCTCTTCTTCTATAGCTTTCTTTCATTTAATACAATCAGAACCTGAAACAGCTTGTGAATAAGTAAGAAAAACATAGTCATTATACTTATCTGGAGCCTTTCTATTTCTATGTGATTTTCTTAATTGTAGATTTTTTTTTCCATCTAAATAGCTTCCTTCTTGAACTTCGCTTATCGAATCTTCATAAATTGAATCATCTGAATTTTCTTCTATTCGATCTTGAAATTCTTCATCTTGATCTTCATTTCTTGAATCATTTTGATTTTCATTATGTCTTTCATCTTCATCTTCATCTTCTTCAGTTTCTTTGAGAAAAAATGGAATTGTTTTACTTTTTCCTTCGTCCTCTTCTCTTTTAGTTAGTTTTTCGAATTTAACATCTCTTGCTATGCGTATATTCCTTTTACCTAAATCCCACAATCTATATCCTACAGGTGCATATCCAACAAAAATATATTTTTCACATCGTTCATCTAGTTTCTTTAATGGACTAAGTACTTTGGAATATGCATCACAACCGAAAAGTTGAAGTCTTGATAAATCAGGTTTAATATGTTCCCATATTTCAATTGGAGTACAATCTGTTGTTGATGTTGGGGTCCGATTCAATAGGTAAGTAGAAGTACATATTGCCTCTCCCCACATTTCTTTCTTCATTTTAGAGTCAAAAATAAGATAGAGTTGCAAGTAAACATTGCTACATGGAATATATATTATTTACTTACCTATTCAATGAAGATCACTGATGACGAAAATATGAAATGAAACTGTAATATGAAACGAAAACTGTAGAAAGTGTAGGGCATAGAAACGCAACAAATCCTGACGTCACTTTTTACTGGCTAGAATGATTTCACGACCATTGTCGCATCTTATTTTTGCAATTTTCATATTCCAGTAGTTTTCAACTTTCTCTGCATATTCTTTCATAATTTCAAAAACTTCATTCTTGCTTTTTAATAAATATACAATTGTAACTGATGACGTCACCCTAGTAATATTATTTTACTGACTGGCAAAGGGACTATGGGAAGACAGCCGTGTGTATAATTTCCAAAGGTCTTTGTGCTGTTCTTCTTACTTCCTTAAAAGGCTGTCTCGTTTGTCTTGCTTTTAAACAGACTTCACATATTTTATCAAACTGATTGAAATCCGTATGCTTTAGATTCATTCCGTTCAAAAGTTTAAGTAATTTCTTCATTGATTCTATACTTGCGTGTCCCAATTTCTTGTGTCATTCCTCTACTACTTTATTTTTATCTTCAATTAAATTAGATACCTCACCTGAATCTTTATCTTGATCCTCCTTAAATCTTACTTCATACAAACCTATTTTAGATTTCTCTCCTTTAAATATAAGTTCTCCATTATATTCAACCAATACTTCTGTTTTATTGAATATTACTGTACCTCCATTATTAGTTATTGCATTAACAGAGAGTTATTGCATTAAATTTGTCGATAAATCTGGAGTATATAGAACATTTTTTAACTCACATTGTTGAAAGTTTAAATTTCCTCTTGCTTTTGCTTTCATAGATGTATTTGTTTTAGCGAGACCAACTTCTGAATCCAATTTCTTAACAATTTACATTCCTTAACTCACATTGTTGAAAGTTTAAATTTCCTCTTGCTTTTGCTTTCATAGATGTATTTGTTTTAACGAGACCAACTTCTGAATCCAATTTCTTAACAATTTGCATTCTTTCCATGCTTTTTGTCATATGAGATGTCGTACCTGAATCGATTACCCAGCACAGTGGCTTTGATACCTCTCCAGTAAGAAAAGATACTGCTACGTTTCGGTTTTCTTGTTTCTTCACATCCTTGTTTCTAAAGTAACAATCTTTATCGACATATTGTTTCTAAAGTAACAATCTTTATCGACATGATTATCTTTCTTACATATAGTACATGTTAAGTTTGTATCTTTACTTTTCTTAGTACATTTCTTAGAAGCAAAATGTCCTTCTTTATTACAAATGTAACATTTCTTACCTTTAATATTTTTATTCTTACACATTTTAGATATATGACCAGTATTTCCACATTTAAAACATTTCTTCTCTGTTGTCTTGAAAGCTACTGGTGTCTCTTGATCATTCTTTGAGCTGTTTCTTGTTTCTTCTATCAAAAGTCTTGAAATAAGATTTTCCAAAGTCCGTTCTTGTTTTATTGTAGATTCCCACGCTGAAGTAAAATGTTTATACTCGTCTGGTAGAATCGCCAATATTTTAGCGTATTAGAAGTTGTAGAATCGCCAATATTTTAGATGATAACATGTTGTCATCTATACAAGTATCTTCTAAAGTATTTATTCTTGTAGCTAAATTTCGTAGATAATCTAGCAAATTAGTAGATAAATCCACATTTTTTTCGTAATTAAAACTAAAGAAGTTTTGGAGTAACGTACACTTTTGCTGTTCGCTATCTCGCTCATAAATAGATATAATTTTCTTCCACATATCATATGCAGTTTTACAACCCATTACGTGTAATAGAGGTTTTTTATCTAATGTAATGACAATCACCTTTTTCGCATTAGCATCTTTTTTCTTCCAGGCTGCATTTCTTTCCTCTTCAGAAGTCTCCTCAAGAATAACATCAATTAGTTCATTGGCTTGTAAAATTATTGTTATTTGGAATTTCCAGACCTGGAAATCTTCAATCTCTGAAAGCTTCTCGATCTGTTTAAGATCTTCTGCCGGAACCTTAGCCATATTTAGAAAAATAATTTTACTATTCTTTTACTGATGACACAGGATAGGTTTCCGTTTTAAAGTGCTACTCAGACCCTTTATATATAACGTTCTGGGCCCATAACCTGTTTGATATCTACTATATTTAAATCACTCAGATTTTATATTAATACAATAAAAGCACTTTATTAATCATCGTACTGTAAGGTTTCGACAAGGTTAATCGAGGGGTAGAAATAGAAACGTAACCGGTTAAGGAAACGATGGAAAGATGTCAGGAATAGCTTGAAAGATCCAGGATGAAACACACGTTAGTTAAAAACACACTTTATTGCAGAGCGTCTAGGACGCGACTTCTTAACGTATTCTTGAACTTAGAATTACTGTCGACCAATCACAGGGTCTCTTCTCCATAGCACAGCGCCACGCTGTGGTAGGGAGTCTGGTAACGAGCGCATTGCCAACTTAAAAACTATGAGAAGCGAGTTGTCGCTTACAGTACATAGAGAAGCGAACAAAGGTTAAACATCAAAAGACAAAGACGACTCGAGAAGACAGAGAACAGCAGCAAGACAAAAAACAACATAAAAATATAATAATCGATAAAATCATTCCTCGGCAATAGATTCAATTCACAAACACCTGTAAACTTACATTAACATTAACTTAAAAAATTACATCTCAACAATCATTAAGAATTATTTGTTGGTTTATCATACAAATGCAGTCTATAATAAAAAAACCTAGATATATTTCGCTACATTTCTCATAATAACAAACAAAAACAAAAGTAGTTGAACATTATAAAAGAAGTTTTAACGGACATATTAATTATCATCAATTTTCTATATATTGTGCAATATTCCATTCTCTATAGGAAATTCAGAGGTTTAAACTTCACGTCTTTCACACCTGTAATAGCATAAGCAAAAAATAATAAATAATATCTAATTAGAGAAGAAATAAAAATTATTATTCTATATCTCTTAAACAAAATTTAATTTAACTTTTTTATACAAACTTTTGCATGTATATACCATTGTATAATAGTTTTATTGTGTCATTGAAAAATAAAGACTAATACTTGAAATATTCTATTTAATATAATGTACCATTAATTTATACCAATATTGTGTCTTTTCTGGCTGCTTGTGACGTGATAGACGGCGCTATAACGTCGAGGGGTAAGCGTGGGATAATACCTTTCATAGAGGCCCACTGACCTTCGCAGAGTTCATGAAAAGTCAGACGCAGTAGTGACTGACCGCCTAGTATACCTGGACCCCTGCATGTTGCACCAGCCCCAAATTCCCAGATACTCCAGTTACCTGTCATAATTAAAACGCGCTGTATCTGCAACGGATTGGTCAGATTCGCAAAGCTGGCGAATCTTTTGCGCAGCCAAGAAGCAACATAAGAAGCACGACAATCGCAATGCCAGGGATTCTGACTCAGACGTACTTGCTGAATTGTAGATATGGCGTCCATACTACCAGCTGGCAAGAAGGAGAGGTCATTCGATTCCAGTTGTCTAAAAATTACGATACGGCGTCACAGAGAACAAAGAAAGAGAGAGAAGAAAAAAGGAAGAAGAAATAAAAGAATATTATTTTTTATTTTCTTTCTCATACAATAAACAAATATATATTTCTAATCTAAAAGTTACAGTAGACAGATTTATAAAGCAGATATATATAAATTGAGATTTTATCTATAATATATATTTCAAGGAATCCTTGTTATGACATAAGTAAGAAAAAAATAATACACAAAAAATTTTGATATTAAATAATATTAATTTTAAAGTAAATAACATTACAATTAAGTATACAGAATTTTTAGTATTAACTTACAGTTTTCGTAAATTTGGCGTGTCTTCAAAAACTCCTGATTGTAGTATCTTTAGTCGATTGGATTGCAAAAAAAGAGAAGTAAGATTGAACAAGCCGCGAAAAACACCTCTTACTAAAATTTCTATACGATTGCCATAGAGAATAAGACGTTGCAAAGATATAGAATTATTAAATAATCCAGGTGGCAAATATTTTATATGATTATGTCCTAGTCGAAGTTCTCGAAGTGTTGGCATACCGTGTAATGCTTTTGTATCAATCTGTAGCAAAGATGCAATGGTTTATTCTTAAAGAGAAATAATCTTCTAAAAGCTTATAGTATATTCATAAAAAATATATTATAATAAAATAATATAATATAATTCTTTTTTATAATTTTATAATTCTCTAAAGTAAAATAAAATTTAAATTTATGAAATGTAAACAATATTTACACGAGATATTCTATTGCTCGATATTTCCAGAATTTCTAATCGTGCCAGAGTCAACAATAATCCCTTGGTCAATTCAGTCAGTCGATTGTTCCGCATATTCAATTCTTTGAGAGACGTCAGATCTTTGAATATACCGTTAGGAAGCTTTTTTAAACGATTTTCATCAAGTGCAAGGCGTCTAAGATTGATAGTGTCTCGAAAAATTGAAACGGGTAATTCAGCTAATCGGTTTTCACTCAGCAACAATTCGTCAAGATTTCCGAGGCCATGAAATGCACCAGGAGGTAACAACGAAATGCGATTGGAGGAGAGATCCAGCAAAACTAAATGGCCATTACTTAAGAAAAGATTTTCTGGCAAAGTACGGAGTTTATTTGATGACAGATCGCTAAACGAAATACAAAATGTATATTAAATTTCAAATCAAAGAAAAAATAAATATTAGTAGCATATTTAATATTATTTTTTCTTGGCAAACTGTATTAAATATAATAAATTTTAAGATAATTATAGAAGTACCTACAATACAACTATAGTGTATATATACAGTATATACAATACACATAAAATACATATAGTGTGTACAATACGCTTCTATACGTTAAGCACTCAAACATTTTTTTTTTTAATTTTACAACTTTTTCAAAACAATTAAATAAAAAGCAACTTGATATTTAAATAATGTAAAATGTCTACGGAAGAAGGAATTAGTATAACTTTAAGATTAGTGATATACTAATTTTTAAGATTAGTTCTTGTATTTCTTTTTTTAATTAGTACTAGTTGTAATTAAGTATCTTACGTACAGTATTCGGAGATTTCTTAGTTCGTAGAATTGATTACGTTGCATTTCTTTCAAAAGGTTATTACTCAATCTGACATTTGCAATTCCATGCAACGGCAAGAACAAGCTTGCCGCCAAATGCTCTACTAAATTATTGCTCAAATCTCTACAATTCACAATTTCATTAATATATTATACATACGTCTCCCGATTATTATACGACTTACAAATGGTGTAACTGCGTCATATTCTTAAATGTATCTCTGTGCAGAGCGCTGAGTCGATTACTCCCAAGATCCCTGAAGAGACACATCAAATAAATAATATTTTCATTCGTGAAACATTTGTCTAAGATTCAATATAAATATGCATCTCCTTAATGGAAAAAATCAAAATTAAATCAAATGTAATATTATATAAGAAATTATAATTAAAAAAAGATTATAATTATATTACAATAATTTAATTTTATCTAAAAATTATATGGAATTGAACGATTCTTTTATAACAAAATACATAAATTATTGTATAATAGAATTACAAAAGTTTGAATTTTATTTACAAATTATATAAAGCATTTCTATCTTCAAGGTTTTCTTGATTATTTTTTCGAAAGAGATCCATCATTAAAGATATCCATTCAACAAACATGACAATAATAACAAATTAATAAAAAAGAAGGTAATTGTTCACTTTAGGGGAGCCACCTCCAACGACCTTGACCTTGACATATGTTGTCAAGGTCATGACCCTAAGTAACCTCCAACAAGTTTTAGCTGTCGCTCGCCCTTCGTTAAAAAGTTATGATCAAAAAAAGTTTGAAAAATTACGTTTTATTTCTATTATACAGCATGACTTCCAAGCGAAGTATTGATGTATTTTTTGATATAATGGCTCGTTTTTACTCACCATATCGCGATCAATGAATAATTTATTCAATAGTAATAAAATATATAATTATGAATACTTCTGAATTATTTCTGCAATACATGTATGATGTTAAGTACTATTCTACACCTTTCCGTATTCAGGAACGTTAAACTTTTCACGCGAAGTAACTTTCGCCCCCCCCCCCCTCCTGCACAGGGGCACACGACTTCCACGATTGTACTGTTGCTATGATAGTACTGTCGGGGCAGACCTTACACACACACACACACACACACGGGCGGGTGCAAGGAGGTGGCCTTCGGCCACCCCCTCGCACCCACACCGTCACAGAGGTCTGCCCCGACAGTACTATTATAGCAACAGTACAATCGTAGAAGTCGTGTGCCCCTGTGCAGGGGGGGGGAGTAAAAGTTACTTCGCGTGGAAAGTTTAATGTTCCTGGACAAGGAAAGGTGTAGAATAGTACGTATATATATATATATGTATGCTATTATAGTATATATACTATAATAGCATACATGTATTATATATCATATGTTAATTTTAAAACTATGATTGTTAATAACTTTTTAACGAAGGGCGAGCGACGGCTAAAACTTGTTGGAGGTTACTCAGGGTCATAACCTTGACAACATATGTCAAGGTCAAGATCATTGGAGGTGGCTCCCCTAAAGTGAACAATTACCAAAAAGAAATAAGGACTCGTTATATAAAAATAAACAAAATGATGTCAAGGGCGATATAAGAGACAAAAAGATTTTTGTTCAACAATAAAGCGAATTAGTTAAGTACTGTTTAAATTATTATAATTTTATTGAAAATATTGACTAATTATATGTTTTATTGTTGAACAAAAATTTTTTTTACTCTTATATCGCCCTTGACATCATTTTGTATATGACAATGAATAATATTTTTTAAATTGCTTACAATCTCAATACGTCGGCAGGGACCAATTGCTTCGAGGGTAAATCCAGTAGATTGTATCTCCAACAAGACACCGATTTTATTTCCGGTACGCATTTGCATGGCCCTTCAGCACAGATCTCCCAGTCCTCCTCTTTTAGGCTGATCTGCCAAACTGCAAAACATGAGTGTCCTTTCGTGTCTCCGTCGTACGTAAATCTCACGATTTTTACCAGGATGCTCGACAGCTCGCAATCTGCGTTCCAAGTTGGATAGACGGTTCTTTATCTCCTCAAAAATCGACATTGATTCATCTGAGAGTGCCGGCGTCGATGAATATTCCGTATCTATGCTCATATGAGACGTTTTATCTCAAGTTTCGTATTTTTTGAATTGTATGGAAGATACGCAAAAAGAGATATAAAAGAAAAATGTACTAGATAGTTTTGAAAATTGTTATTTTTCTACTCTTTTTATACGAGAAAATCTATACTTTGTAACATATATTTTTTATTTTAGAAACTTATTAGATTTTTTTAAGATTAAAGAGATCTCAAAATTTTAAACTAGATGTACGCATTTTTATAAATAATATTCCATAATCTTCATCTAATATTTTTAACTTCATGTAGTATATTTAATATAATACAATTTTGACTGGATTGTGCGTGTGTAGTGTGTATTTTATTATTCTTCAGATTTAATTCAAATTGTTAAAAATAATTGTAAGCGAATATTTATTTGTTCAAATTTATTCAAATACCTGTAGAAATCCTCATACTTGCAGTACACATATGCGAGACAAAAGAGTACGTATTCGTCTTGCAAAATGAGAGGAAGACGATTGCACAGTAAATCTTTGAAGATAAGTCAGTCATGTCAGTTCGGATTAGACGACACATTATAGATGGGACAAAGTGCATCAGACTGAGGATGTAGTTTCCAAGCCGACCGTTGTCCTCCATTGTGCACGGTCGCATCCTCATTATCTTGGACATTGATTTGGAAGGTAAACTTATTACAATAAAGATTGACGCACAATGGCCCTACGTGTACAAATTATGGCCTTTCACGCATATGACAGTGTACACGCGTTTAGCACAAATCAATTTACTAATATTTATAAAATTTATAAGTTATCTAAGAAATGATTAATTGACATAAAATTACAAAAATATTAACTGTGGGTGATTCAAAATTCCCGCACTCGAAGTACAAGACGTAATACTTTACGCTAAAACAAACAACTTTTTCCTTTAACAAAATTGTGTCCGACAAATAGTTTTTGCAGTAGAGCATGTTAAATTTAACGAATAAGCATTGTTGTCTACATGGCGCTCAGGACCGGCGCGCGATCCTCACTCGCGTGTACATATCTCGGTTATTATTCGAAAATAACATTTGTTCAAATATGGCACTATTACAAATTAGTTTATGACATCTTAATACATCTTAAATAATACATCATAATAATAATAATAATAATAATTACTTTTGTCACTTACGTAATAAATGATTAAAAGGATTGTCTCTGATGCCGTCGCGCCATTTGAAAATGTAGATACATTTGAATACAATACGTTTTGCGAGATGAGAGTTCTAATTCTAAATATCACACAATTGCGTACGATATAATAAATATCATTAAACTTAAAGAATAAGTTACTGATTATGCGAATACATAACTCTCAAATGTTGACAAACTGATCTATTTTGATCAGTGATTAAAAATAAAGTAAAATATTCGACTTAAGGTATATTAAGCGTTAATTCTTTCTTTATCCTTTACGATAAAGAATACGATAAAAAAATCTATCAAAAATATTTATTTACATGTGTTAGTTTTAATAATACAGTTTAATAATACAATAATACATTTAGCGGTACATTTTGAATATCCACAGCTACATTCAAATATTATTACACATACGAGGTACAAGTCCGACCGTGCAATCTCCTCGTGGTGTACCTTGAATCATGCTAATGCCGGCGGCACAATTGACTTTTAAAATGCAATAAACATCGGAAAAAGTAGTACCGCTAAATGTATTGTTAAATGTATTATTGTATTATTAAATTGTATTATTAAAACTAACACATGAAAATTAATAATTTTGATAAACTTTTTTATCATATTCTTTATCGTAAAGGATAAAGAAAGAATTAAAGCTTAATGTACCTTATCTCGAATATTTTATTTTATTTTTAATCTCTGTTCAAAATAGATCAGTTTGTCAACATTTGAGAGTTATGTATTCACATAATCAGTAAGTTATTCTTTAAGTTTAATGATATTTATCATACGCAATTGTGTGATATTTAGAATTAGAACTCTCATCTCGCAAAACGTATTGTATTCGTATGTATCTACATTTTTAAATGGTGCGACGGCATCAGAGACAATCCTTTTAATCATTTATTACGTAAATGACGAAAGCAATTATTATCATTATTATTATGTATTATTTAAGACTGTATTAAGATGTCATAAACTAATTTATAATAGAGCCATATTTGAATCTTTAAATGTTATTTTCAAATAATAGCCGAGATATGTACACGCGAATGAGGAGCGCGCGCCAGCCCTGAGCGCCATGTAGCAACAACGCTTATTCGTTAAATTTAACATGCTCTACTGCAAAAACTATTTGTTGGACGCAATTTTGTTAAAGGAAAAAGTTGTTTGTCTTAGCGTAAAGTATTACGTCTTGTACTCCGAGTGCGGGAATTTTGAATCACCCTGTATATAATATTAACTCTACACATAAAATTTAATTTATGCTATTATATAAAATTGATATATAATTACGTATGATAATTTATTCTAATATTCTTCAAAATGCCAAGGTCACCGACTTATTTCGATATTATAATACTGAGTTTACACAGTGCGAGATATTAGTTTGCTAATAGTGTTGGTCTCTGAACTGGAAGTCAGTACTATTTACTAGCAAGTTAGTTGCTTATTTTAGCTTTATATATTTATTCGAACAATTACTGATCATATTACTAATTTATACATTCACGAAGAGCCTGTCTGCGTGATGGAAAGTTACTGAACATTACAGCAAAAATATTTGAAATGTCAAGGTCAGTTACTGTCCAACTTACATGGTCAGTATTTTAGTCGTAATGTTATACGGAGTCAGTAAGTGACTCTCAATTACTCGTACCATTATTTGCACGCTAATTCTTACCGTATAAATTAGACATAAAGTTAAACATCAACATTGCATTTATGAGAGTTTATTTATTCAAATTTATAATTATAATATATTGATTAATTACTCGTATGATTCTTTTTGATATATATAGAAATAAAAATTGATATTAATAAGTTAATTAGCAAATTTTGAATGTTAGAGACAAACGTTTAGTATTCAGTCTCGCATGTGTGTGTGTCTGCGCACGTACGTGTACGTGCATATATATATTTTTTAAAAATAATGAACAATATTATGAATGAGACAAACGGAAAATTAGTGAAATGTAAAAATTGTATAAGAATGCACTTACTATGTAAATAAAATTGTTATTTAATTCAACAATGCTACAATGTATATTTTACATTCTGTATAATAAAATAATTATTACGTAAACAACTATAAGCATTTATTTAATAGCTAGGAATAGTATCATGTTTTTATAGAATAAAAATCCATTACAAAAAATAAAATGCCATTATGCATTTATATTGATTAAAAAGTAAGAATTTTGTCTATTTGTACAGAAATCTAGTCTTATTTAATATTTATTACAATCATCATTAAATAAAGTGATAGTGTCACGTATTTGCATTGAAATAAAATTATTTGTAAAAAAGGATTTTATCTTTATTTATACATCGTATAAAGAGAGAGGACACGGTAGTGTCTCGCGCCAAATGAACGCGAAGCGAGACCGTATATTTATACGCGAGGTGAATTCCAAAGACCCGAGATTATCGGATCTCACAATAAATGACTGAATTAATCGACTTTTCAGTATTCTCAATTTACTCGGAAGTTTAAATTTTATAATAAAATTGTTTTTTATGACCTACATACCCTACGAATGGAAATATTGCGATGCGACGTCAAATTTTGATGTCAGATATGTCACCATCATCATCATTATTGCCCTCAAAAAAGTTGTCTGATTCACATTTTAAATGTCAGATGACACTCGTTAGCATATTTTATTTTATATTGATGTAAATACAAATGTTTACCAGACGATCGAGACAAATGAACATAGTTATATACGTTATGTTTTGCTATTGAATTGATATTTTACGATATACTATTCCAATATTAATTATGCATATTAATTATGCACATGTGTATATAATTAAAAATTAAAAATATACAAATATTTTTTTTCAAACAATTTTTTGAAAAATATTGCATGTTAAGGAGGCCCTTGTATACATTCACCACTTGTTATATCGTCATGCCTGAGAGCGTGAAATAAGCTCTGTGATTAGCAAAATTTAATTGCGATTAATTTAAAAACTATATTATATCCTCGACATTTTTATATTAAAATTTTCATCATAAAATTATCTCAAAGATACGCACTTAAAAAAAATATAATAAAAATAACATATACAATATATACGTATACATATGATATAATATGTATGTATATATATATATATATATATATATAATGATATATATAAATTTATAAGAAATATTTAACATTACAAAATGTAAGATATCTTAACAAAATTACCTTCTAAAAAAAAGGGAAAAAATGTAATTTTGTTGAGTGCGGTCTAACAGTGCCAAGTTTTTTGTACTTTTACTTTTTGAAATAAAGTATATGTTATATATGTGGCAAGAAAATATATTCCTTTCACAATTGGCACAATTTAAAGATTTTATTTCATTTTTTGTATACTGCAATATGTAACGGTTTTTTGTAAGTGAGATTGAACACGTATATACTTGGCGCCTTTTTTCCCTTTTTTTTAAAAAGGTAATTTTGTTGAGATATTTCATAACATTGTCGTTACATACGACATCAGTATGTTGAGTCATTTCTTACTGGATGTTATTGAAAAGATTGGAATTTAAATGTAATGCAAATGAAAGAGAATACATTTACCGTTAAAGATAACTTGGAACAAGTTTTGCTATATTTTCGTTTATAATTTTTGGTTATTAGCATAATTATTTTTACTTTTTACACAGTCTTCACAAGTTGTGTAAATAAAATAAAGTAAAATTAACCACTTACTTTTAAAGTTGACTTGTGGGACATTAGTCAAAATTACAAAAATTTATGAGAGGAAAGTCACCTCGATACCGATATATCGCTTTATTTTTAGATATTTTTTTTATCAAAAAATAAAAATAAAACTTTACAAACATAAGCACAAATTAAAAAGTGTCTTCTGTCAGATACTATAAGCAGTTTCTATAATACTGTTTGTCATTTTGCAATAATTTATTTTTTGTAACATAAGCAAAACTGAGCGTCTGACAAAACAGCTTCAAAACTGACACAGGCAGTAATGCTACATATTCATATTCTTTTTCTTTTACAGAAATTATTTGTATAAAGTACCTACAAGTGAATATATATAAGATTTTTTCCAGAATCTTTTCAATTCGTTATAAAACATTTTTTTATTGTATTATATATATTTATACATATATTGTATTATATATATTTATACATATATTGTATTATATATATTTATACATATTTACTTTATATTTTTTTTAAGGATTGGAGACGGCTATTTACTTCATGCTGTTCTGCAAGATGCAACGAGATAAATGCTCGTTATTCAGATAGATGGATCGATCAAGATGATCCTATTCTATTACTACTAATTTTTTGTATGGAGTTACATACATGAAAAGTTTATTAGAGCATTGTTGTGATGGTATATCACATAAGTGAATAAGTCATTGTCACGACCTTTAACAGAATTACGCGGGAATGACTCATTGTGTAATACGCGTTATTACAATATAATTATTTGAAGGGCGAAATTTTGCGTACGAGAGTGAGAACGGCACTTTGAGCTTGCATCAAAAGACGAGATTGGATTAGACCTATTGGGAAAATTATTATGAAAAAAAAACCCGAAACATACTAGCTACAGAAAGATGGTAAGGAAATAATAGCGCTCTGTCACTTTTTTATCATGGAAACAATAAAGTTATTTTTTTACGCGCGACCCTGTGGTACCTTTCTATAAATGCACGCATGCAGGCGCACACACATACGTACATACATACATACATACAAAAATACATTTCTCGTGTCATTTATGTGTTATTAAAAAAATTGATTTTAATAAAAAAAGTGAAAGATGATAATAGCTCAGAACAGGAGTCCAATGCCATGAATGCGCCGATTGTGTAAATATATGTCGTTGCCATTAGTAACAAACAACTTCCCGCACACTAAGCAACCTTGAACGCTGGAAAGTCACCATAAAGATAGTAGTAATAGAATGCACATTGTCAGAAATTTGTGGAGTGGGGGTAGTCCGCATATAGAAAAGGACGCACTCTAGTATTACTATCTCTATGGAAGTTATATCTACTGAAATATAAATATAATACTACTAGAGCGCTGACTCTCGTCGCCTTTATTAGCAGTGATCCGAGAGAGCATTTCAAGTGGTATCTTTGTCCTTTTTGAAATTATACGCATGTGCAGTAAACAGTAGTAGGGCTTGTATAGTCCCTTGAAAAGTTAAAGCACGAGAGATGATTCAGCGCGCATAATCTAATCGTAAAAATTAAACTCATGATCATATTGTACTAAAAAAGGACAAGAATACTACTTGAGACCGTCTTTGTCGGATCGCGAAACTAGCGTCAGCGCTCTCGTTCCAGTAATATTATATTTTAGTTGTTATATCTCTCCGCATGTTTACATGTGGCAGTGTACCAGCTAAATATGCGTTTCCTTAAAAATTAATCTCATTAACTATTGCGAAAATTGCAAAACAATATAGGACAAACGATATCACCATAATATAAATGTTTTTGTTTGTATAACATTATGAGTAACCATATAGTTGATTTAAATTTCGGTAAATTAATTTAGGTATATCGTGATACTCATACAAGTCTATTTGGAAACTTTTTAACTCAGTTTAGTCCACGGTGTGTCAAAAAGTTTAATTTCCCTTTATCAGAAAAATGTAACTTATATCTATTTTTCTTTAGTTTTAAAAACGAAGTCAATGTTTTAAGTCACTTTCACGATGTCTAAATTCATCACATCACAATATTTTTATCAATAAAAAATAACTCGACTTTTCATTATTTTTAACCTAATAGTTTGCATCTTAATTAATAAGTTTATATATTATCGTTGTCTTACTTTTTCTTTTTCTACTTTAGCTTGCATAAAAACCTGGCCATAAAAATGGCTCTAAAAATACTGATAAATCAAGTTTTCTGTCGATAAAAAAATTACGATAAAACAATTTGGATATTAGATCCGGTTTCATTTATTAAAATACATAAGAATCTATGTAATAATTAATATCTAATCTCTAGTTCTAATCTATAAATCAAACAATAAATTTTTTGTGCCTTTGTAATTAAAAAAAGAACATTAAATCTGTCAAAATAATAATTAATATTATATATTATATGTTCATGCATGAATAATTTTTTACCGAGTTAAGTTAAAGTCATATTATTTAAAAAAATAATTATCTTGTCGTTTTTCTGATTTTTAGAAACATTTCAGTGACTCACATATCATAGAGTAACACGGTCTTTAACAAAAAATACACTGTGTCTTATATTATACCTGACTATTTCCGAGCCACTTTCATGTATATATAGAGTCGAGACACTGTCGTGTCTTCAGATAAGCTTGATCAGCTCACATGAATCAGTGTAGATCAGTCCTAATGTATTTGCTATAAGGCTATTCTTTAATAAGGAAATTTTAAAAAATTGATAAAATTTCTTGGATATTTGGAAAATGTTTGTTAAAGTTTTTGTTTTTGTACTTATAACAGCATATGTTACAGCGAAAATACGTAAGTAAAAAACAATATATATTCTTTCTTGTTTCCAACGTTATAAATTTACGATCTTTTATACTATATATTAAATACTATATATTAAATAAAGCATATTATATTTATATTTACTTTTGTCATTTATGTACATTGTTAGAAATTTTATGATAAATTTAAGTAATATATTGAAATTACTGTTAAGCCTCAGTTATGCTTCAATGATTTCGAAATTAATTCCAAATTAGATCAAATGCGAGTAATATTGCACGCAAAACGTTAATTAGATTATATTTCTCATTATACAGTTTATCATCTCGATACCATTTACCCCACTCCAAGTGTCGCGTGTCTACCATAAGCTGTACATATATATGTATATATATATATATGTAAATATGATGTATGTAAATATGTAAATAGAAGATGTAACTTTTATACCACTGTTGGACCCAAGTCCGAATAAAAAGAACGAGGGCATTTCGTCATTTATTATTGTTTTTTAAATAAGAGAATTTTTTTGTTGCCAATTTTTTTATCAATATATTACAGTCGATACAAGTCGAATCTAAACATACAAAATGATTCATAAAAAGGATTAATTAGAAAGCAATAATTGATGTATTATAACATCTTCAAATTTTCATATTTTTTATAAGATTATTAATTCTTTGTAACAAATGTCCTAATGAGAAATATAATCTAATTAACATTTTGTGGTGCAATATTACTCGCATTTGATCCAATTGGAAATTAATTTCTAAATCATTGAGGCATAACTGACAATGATTTCATAACGATGCGAATAAGGATCTTTTTTTATTTTATACCAATGTACTAATTTTTCCTTAAGTCTGACGTAATTATATAATAATTATTTTCAGTTTCTACGAAGAAAAATACATAAGAAAACATACAAACAAAACAATCTCCGAGTGGTCGGGAAACCCTCAAGTACCTTCCTTTCATTTACATGTACACAAATATGCTTTCTAGTTACAGAGATACATTAAATTTAATGTAATTAAACTTTCTAAATTTCTTCAAATAAAATTTCACTCCAAGAGAGTAAAAACATAGTCATTTTTGGATGAGAGTGATAATATTTTACTAATTACTTTATGAAAAATAGTGACAATTTTCACTCTTTTTAAGTGAAAATTGTTACTCTTTTTATTCTTATAGATTGAAATTTTACTTATTTAAATTTTAAGAAATTTAAAGAGAAAATTAAGTTTAACTTGTGTAATTTAAAAGTTTATTAAATTTCGTGCAATTTTTAACAGTATAGATATGAATTGGTTTAAAATCTTCGAAAACGTCAAATTTTTTTCATAAATATATTTTAAGTAAACTTAAATGAAAATATTTTAAAATAAATATTTATTAAAAGTTTGAAATTTATAAAATCTAAAAGACGTTTTGTATAAAATCTTAAATCTATATTAATGTATAAATCTATCGTGTAAGTAGTTTGAAGTTATAATTTACAAAACATGATTTATATACTTTATTACTTTTTAGCTTCCTACTTTCATGTCTGTGGCCGTAAGGATCCCAATTATGATCAATGTATTACAGAAAACATAAAAGCTGTGAAAGATAAGCTTTGTACAGGATTTCCAGAAATCAACATTCCATCATACGAACCAATAGTGCTTGACAAAGTAATTATTTTTGACACAAACGATGTCAAACTTTATCTCAGAGACATGAAAGTATATGGATTTTGTGACCTCGTTGTAAATTCCGTTCGTACAAATCTTGAAAGAAACCACTTCGATTTAGACATCTTATTTCGACATCTTTACTTGAACGCTACGTATGATTTTGATATACGTTTGCTAGTGCGAATTGCAAATAAGGGACCGGTTGAAGCTACTTCAGGTAAAATAATTCTTACTTTAGAATAAAAGAAAAATTGGGAGAGAAGACAACTTTTATTAGAATAAAAAACTTAAATAACTATTATTTTATTTTATTAAAATTATAATATAATTTTTTCTACAGAAAATGTAAGGATGAAGGCAGGCATGGATCTAAAAACAATAATAAAAAATGACAAGAAACATATATATGCTTCGAAAGTAAACAACATTCTCGAAATAAAATCATTTAAACATAAATTCAATGATGACACCGAAGAATTAGCTCAATTACATTCAATTTTAAACGACGTCATAGCCAACAATAAAAAGGATGTTATTTATGCTATTAAATTGGCAATGGAAGAGACTGTCTCCAAAATAATAATATCAATTTTCAACGTCATAGCCCGCTCCAATTACGAGGAAATATTTCCAGAAAGAACATGAATTGTCTCGAATTTTAGAAATCATTACGTTATAGTATAAAACTTGTTTATGTACTATACTTTATTTGTTAATAGCTCTTAATTAAATAATGGTTGACAATTAAAATCTTTTCAAGATTATTCAGAGTTATAGTGTCTTCATAATATTTAAATATTAAAATTAATATGATTTAGATATTTTAGACTGTTTCCGTATTTTTACATATTTATCATTATTGATTAGTTGAATTTGTCTTTTAACATAATAAAGTTATACAATGCTAAATAATATTATTATATTTTGTATAAAATAAAGTTGAAAAAAATATGTTTATTGGCAATTTCATTACAATAATCATATGTAAGTAATATTAAAATGTAATTTATACTTATTATATATAATTTCAAATATATAATTTCGAAGTTTGAAACACATACAGAGTAAGAAATAAGTTTGTTGGAAAGATATAGAGAAGAAAATATCGTTTTATATACGTACATAAATAATTATCATGTAGAGGAGAGCCTGTGTCGGACAAGATTGATTGTAAAAATGCTTATGACATAATCAGCACATAGCAGAAAATCTCTTTCTGTGACTGTAAATTGTTGATGAATATTAATTTGTTGCATAAAATAGTTTGCACTAAAAGCATTGTATATTATTTACAACGCTTTAAAAAAATGAAACTGATGAGTAAATTTTTTTTTATCACCAATTTTTTGTTTAACAAGTCTTTGATAATATTAATCATGATGTTTTCGTATTAATATAAAAAATGACATCTCAAAAAATTTTTGCTACAATTAATTAATCATTATCCTAACAACGATTGTAATAAATGCAATCTCTTTTACTGAAAATACTAAATACGAGTACTGTAGATAGATCAAGAAAAATTTGAAATATAATATACTTGTGAAAATATATTCACTAAAAATGTATTGATAAAGATATTATGTTTTTTTTATTTTTTATACAGAAACTACATTACAAAAATTAATTACGTATTTTATCATTAAAATATAAATTGTATTTTTATATATTGTCCGTAATAAATATGCTATTGTCAATCCTAGAACGTGTAACAATCAATTATAACACAAAGATAATTGTCACATTTTCGCAGTTTCATTGAAAACTAAATAACTTCTTTGTACGATGATGAATTCAAGAGTAACGTTTTTTAATACTTAAAGAATGTATAGATATATTATAATGTATATAATATTTCAAAATTAGGTATCAACTTTTTTCGAAAAATCAAAAACTGTGATAACTGATTCCGATCTCTCTTAAGGAGATATATCATCTTTGAGGCAAAAAAAATCGATTTTTTTTTATTTGCTTAAACTATTCTTTGAAGTGTCAAGAATATAATTTTATTCATTAGAATGAGTTCTGAAACGTTTTTATGCGTAAAATAGCCGATTTTGTACAAGTCGTCCTAGCGCGCTGTGAACGCCGAATACACGCGGCAGAAGAATCTATGATCGAAGTAGCTCGGGAGAGTCGCAGACAAGTCACATCATCTCGAAAGCTGGCAGATAAGAAGAATTTTAATTTAGAAAGGCAACTGTGCATGGTCCTGGCATTGCCGATTAAAGATGAGTTCGAAGTATTTACAAATTTCTTTCTTACAAAACTTTAAACACTATTTTTTCGAAACAGTATTTTTTAAATTGGCGTGCAGCGTATCTCCCGCAATTTACATCCGATTAACTTGAAATAAAGCTTAAAACGTTTGTAATTAAATATTCTATGGAACTACGTAGATATTTTTATACAAGTTTTAGATTTTTTTTGGAAACCGTTTTTGTACAAGAATTTTTGATGAAAAATTTGATCTTTTTATTCCACAAAGCGTAAATTTCTTAAAAATTAATTTTATCCAAAAATACTATGTATTTTCCTAAAAAAAAAAAATGTCAGAGAATAATATTTATTTTTATTTTTTTTTAATTTTGTGTTCTAGGTCAACCGTTCAGCCTGTAGCGTGCACGCCAATTTAGGAGTTCACAGCGTGCACGGTCACCTTTGGCGCCATCTATAGAGGATTGAATCTAACATTTTTTACTAAAAAAAAATTAGTTCTTTAACTTTAAATTACAATAAATCCAACTTTTTGTCTATTCTTTCTATCTGAAAAAAATTCCTGAAGAACATCTATTTTTTCTGTGTTAAAAGTAATATATTCCCTTAATTTTATTTATGTGTGTACATAATTAAAATTGCTAAGTTCTAATAAAACTTTTTTTTTTAATTCTGCGTATAAAAAATCGATTTTTATACTAATCTTTTTATACAGGAGAATATTTATACCATATTACTACTTATATAAGCATAATTAAGTGTTTATATAATAAATAATATTGTTGTGTGTGTATGTGTATGTGTGTGTGTGCAAATAACACTTATTGCAAATATAGTAATAACTACAATAAATTTCTCAAGATTTTCAGATAAAATTTTTCCGCTACTTTTTTGTATTAATAATATAAAATAGAGAAAAATTTAAATTGCTAAATATAACAAAAAAAATACGCTTAATTTCTATCAGAAAAAGAAAGAACTTAATTGCCGTTCTTAACTTTATATTCGTATTTTATTCTTACTATGATATTTCTTGATAGAAACTTTTTTTATAAAACTATATGTTTACGAAATTTAATGTTAATACGGCATTTAACTATGACATTGAAGTAAATTTTTATTCGAAAAATACTTTGTATAGCGTATACCGAATAAATCTTTATTCAAATAAAAACGTTTTCAGATTTAGTATTAAATAAGGAACGTTTTATTAGGACTACATGTGAATCACAACCAATAAGGAATAAATTTCTTTAACAGTCAAGCTGGATTTTAAGTGCGTAAATAATTCAATGAATTTACATATATACTACCAATATAGTCGTTTAAATTAGGAATTAATTTTTCGGTTTTGAAACACAAACACTGCTGAACTATTATGATAATACAATACCAATATCATAAATTAAATTGACTAGTAATAGTAAAAATTTCTTAATCCGAAAAATATTTCATATACTTCAGTCGGTAATCGAATTCAAATCTCTTGTATTCCTTGCAAGTGACCTTATTGATTTTTTTAGATTATTTAAGAAAGTTACCCATTACTTTTTTTTAAATTTAGTTTATATTTTTAATAAAATTTATCCGTTATGGTTTGTAAAATGATCTGAAATTATTACGATACAGAAATATAATGCAACGTCTTAATTAATATGTATGAACTAAATGTCTTTAACCCTTTGCGGCATAGTGTTCGCTGTAGCGAACACCTTTTCGATCGAGTTTTTTTTTTAATGAGGAGCTCAAATCACGTTATATGAAGGCAGTTTTTTTTCATTGACTTTTATATATTTTAGAGATGTGATTTCCTTGGCTTTAATGTGTTTGTTGCTCATTTGTTTATTTATATAAATAAATATAGCTCGGAATTTCATAATTATTTTACAAAGAATGTGTGTCAAAGAGAAAGAAGGATGATAGGGTAGCGAAAATTAGTATATAAGGGTTTTCGGTGTCGCTGATCACGAATCTGCCATAAGAATTTAAACAAAATAATTGAAAAAAAAATAAAAAATAAAAAGAATATAAAATCTTGAATCCGCCATTTTGAATTTCTAAAATCTGAATTCAGATTCGTAATCAGTGACCTCAAAAACCCCCGAGTACCCAGTTTCATGAAAAATGGTTCATCAGAAAAATGTGTGCCGGAAAGGGTTAATGCATACTTAACACATTATTTCAATATTATTCTAATAAAGATTGACTATAAATATTCATAGTGTATCTAATAATACACAAGTGTGGAAAATCCAGAAAAAAATAAAGTTTTATCACAATTATACTCAATTAAATCTTATATAAGTACTACAACATAATTTCAAAATCTGAAGAAAAATTAATTCTTCACAATATAAATGCACACTTAAATCTTGGATCAAACAATGTTACTTTAATAATTATATAATTACTATGTAACATATTTATTTACTATGTAACAAATTTATTATTACTTAAAAAAATTAATAAAGGAAAAAGATTAAAGCATAGGTATATATATAAACTTATAATAAAAACTAACAATAAGTAAATACTATTATGCTTATTCAATAAAAGAATAAACATGTCTTATATCAATTTTTGTAATTGTATTCTTACATGTAGCATATTTTAAGAACAGTATTATTTTAAAGCTCCTTTAATCAAAGTGATTAATAGAAAAATTTAAAAGTAGAATGTGTGTGTTACTTATAATTTTATTTACAAAAATGTATATGAATTTTAATACAATTATAAACTTATATACATATGTATATATATTATAATATATAATTTTCTAACTATTATTATTATTATATAGCACATAATATTATAACTAAAAAATTCTATTTTGAAATTTAGCATAAATTTTATATCATTTTTAATGAGTTTACATTACAGAGTTAAGAAAACGTTTATTGTTTATGCAGTTTTTTTAATTTTAAGTGTATCACGCGAATACAATTTAGATGACTATGGTGCATTAACATAGACTTGAATGAATAATCACTACAAAGTAAGGAAGTGACTAATTATGACATCAAATTGCTTCTAAATGAGAATAGTTTTTGCTCTCTATACTAGATTTTCTGACTCCTTTATAGATAGATTCCTTACAGCTCATTTTCTGTTGTAATTAATTTCCTTCTCTTTTGAGTTATTCTCCTACACAATTTCCATGTAATTAAAATAAACATGTGTACGTGACAAAAAGAACGAAAGACAAAGTATACGATATTTTAATGTACGTGTCATTAAAAAAAGAGCAAGAATTGATAAGCAATTTAAAAATGGTAGGTATATAAGAGCTTATGCGCACTTGTGTAGATTAGTCTTGATTCACATCCGTTGAGTAGCAATTACAATTGTTCGTTTAGTCATTTTAAAAGATCGGAAAAATTTCGTGTTGAAAAATGTTTGCTATAATTTTTACTTTTGCACTTATAATGGCGTATACAGTCGCAGAAATGCGTAAGTTTGTAAAAGTGTTTGTCATTTATATATTTTTACTGTAACATATAATAGATATATTTTACTATACTATAAAAAAGATTTGTTACACTATTTGAAAAAAAAATTTAGTTTAAAAATCATAAAAATCGTAAACTATCATATTGTCAATAATATTATAATATATTGTATATCATTGCTCTTAATCAATAGATTAGAATAAATTAATGAACTATTTTTCAAATTAGATCTTTCATTTTGATGCAAACAAGATATTTTAGCAAATTAGTATTTTAAAATACTGCATTTTTCAGAAGCGTGTATTGGAGAGATTTTTTATCTTTTTTTTAAATTACTAAATAGTAATTTAAAAAAAAGATAAAAAATTATGAAATCTCTCCAATACACGCTTCTGAAAAATGAGTATTATGAAACTATTTTTAAAAAATATGCTTTAAGTGTATGTGGTACATATTTTGTATTTTCATTCATTTTTTCTATTCTAATCCAAGTGATAGCAGTTAGTTATAATTCTTTTTAAATAATGATGGTATGATATACAAGGCTTATAAGAATCAAGAAACCTCCATGATTAAGTTAATATAAGTATATTAAATTTAAAAATATAAAAACCTACAAAAAATAATACATTTTACACTGCAAAAATACATTACAAACCAATTCCAAAAATCGATATCTTCTTCTTGACTCCCAAATTCCAAACGAATCCAGTAAATTTTTCTATATTAGGAGGCGTATGAGAGTGCCACGTTGCTGTTGGTACTCTCATTCGCCTCCTAATATAGGAAAATTTACTGGATACATTACAAACATTATTACATTTTTCGGCCTTATATTTAGACCCTCTTCAGGTATACAAAAATTTTAACGCAGTAAATTATTAAAAGTTGAGAAGTCGACGGTTTTGTTACATAATTAGATGAGTGTTTAATTAGAGAAACGGAAAATTACTCGTCAAGAAATTAGTTATTTTAGAGTTCGAACAAACTACGGAAGTATATTAAAATACATAAAAAACTCCTTTGAACTCTTTTTCAAAATCTAATATTATTTATAAGATAAATTGCAACGATTGTGATGCATATCTTACGTAGAACAAAAGGAAAGAAAATTGAAAACATGAATTTTAGAACATCAAAATCAAATACGATGGAACATTAGTTCTAAATTGGTAATAACAGACCAACGACTACAATTAGGACATGATTTTGATTGGAATAACATTCAAATTCTAGATGAAGAATTGTGTCATAATAAACGTCTTATTTCAGAGAGGATCTAAATAATATGGCCGAAACATGTAGTAATGCATTGTATTTTTGTAATGTATTATATTTTTGCAGCATGGAACGTATTATTTTTTGTAATTTTTTATATTTAAATTTAATACACTTATATTAACCTGATCATGAGGTTTCTTTTATTGTTTCTTTTAACTCTTACAAGCCTTGTATATCATATTATTGTATTTTAAATATTGCAGTCCTGTTACTTTTTATCTGTTTTTAAATAATAATATTACAAAATTGAACTATAATTAATATAAAATTTATGCACGTTAAAAATTATTTAATTTTTTATCAACTCAAGTGATATATTCTCCAATTCTTACGTAAGAATAATTCTATTTCAATTCAAGTGTACCTTTTTGTTACATTAACGTTGAATAACTCGATGCAAAAAATCGTACAAAGATTAACAAATCAAAGATAAAGATTTACTCTTTCGAAAGCTGTAAACTGCATTTGGACACAATTTTCACTTGGCTCCACGAAACTTTGCAAATTTTGTAAAAAATTTTGAGATCTGATGCATCTTTATTTATGTTTATGTAACTTTATGAAATATCCAGTAACACCATTTTTTTGAAGTACTGGTCTGAAGAGTACAGATTTTTAAAGTTTTAAAATGTTTTTCTAAATATATCAATTACAATGATTATTCACAAAGTTATTCTACATCGAAATTTGCTAATTTTTGCATGTTAGATCATGTAATGCTTTAATTTTGTTGAGTATGTATAATATAATATGACAGATGTTGTATATTTTCTCCAACAATATAAAAAAATATGTGATTTTTATTCGTCGTAATAAAATGGTACAATGAAGGCTGTGTTCTAATTTATTGTTCATTGCCAGTGCTGAAAATCTATCATACATGTAATATATAAAGTTATAGATTTTTAGCACTGATTATAGTCGAAATGATATATTTTGAAGATGAGTGAATTGAATTGATTCGAATCGTTGACAATATATTAAAAAAAGATTGAATTCAAATCAAATTTTTTTAGATTTACATTAAAAGCTAAAACAAAGGAAATATTATGTTAAAAAGAATAAGTCATTTGTAATTTACAGGTACATACCAATAAATAAACAATATGGCAAAAGAATTTTATTTGTTATTATATATAATATAAGAAATCTTTTTAGTATACTTTTGTCATATGGTTTATTTTTTTATAATACCCCCCTGTAAATTAAAAATAATTTATTATCTCATTTAATTAAAAAATTTTTTTTATTTTAAACATTATTGGAAATATTTTGTTTTAATTTACTAACTTTTAAATTAGCTTTTATTAATCTATTTCAAGTAACATAAAATAATATCTGTGTTAAGCATTTTGATTTGTATCGACTCATTTGAATATCCTTCCATTTGTAATTTGCTTTACTTACTTACTCACTTGTGCATGCGCGCGCATACAGCATCTTCAGCGCCAACGTTTTGTTCAACGAACACTACACTACAATAAAGAGCAGTGCACAAGACGCACGTTTTACTATACAATCCAAGCATTATTCTTTTCTCTACGATCCATCATTATTAATTTACAAGAAGTGTTAAATCCAGCTTTAAATCACAAATAATCTGAAATGCATATAAGTAAACAAATATTATAATAATCGCGATTATAATGTATTGTTTTAAAGATAATTTTTTAATTTTTGTTTAAAGATAATTTTAAAGAAACTATATACTGACTACTTATTCTAGCGAAAATAACTAACTGTTGCCTTAAATTTGTCCTTTTATTTTAATTACATTTATTTAAAAAATATAAAAACCTATTTTTGATTTTGAATTTTTCAGATTCGAAAACAAATTGAATCGATTTAATTTGTTTCGAATTTGAACTGATTTGCACTTTTGAGGACAAACCTTCAAAATTGAAGTTTCCAGACTTCAAAAAAGTAAATAAAGTATATTTGAACAGTACATTTTGTTTAATTTTATATAAAAATAAGGCTTCTGACAGATGCCTTATTAGAAAAGAGATATCATAAAAGATATAAAAAACATCTTATAGAATATATATGAAAGATGTTTTATAAGACATTATATAATAATGTCTTCTGATAATTTTAAGACTTTAAAATGTATTATAGCAAGATAATTTGTTTTTTAAGTTAAAGTAATTCCTGCAATTTATATGATATCTTGACATTCAGAGACGTAGAAAAAATTAAATAAATGATCAAAATCAATTACTAATGAATTATGGAAATTAAGTCTGTATGGTTATGAGCATAATTATGGTCTTGAGTGTGCAAACCTATCTTAAATATTTAAATTTAATCTTTTAAAGCTGGAATTATTATGATCTTTATAATTCGTAACAAAATTTTTTATTTTAACATTTTACTTAAAATAATTCATTTAATAGTACGCATACACTTAGTATTTATTAATATAAATATTTGTAATATTATATAATGTGTGGAATATATACATAATAATTTAATGAAATTAAACATTAAATTAAATTAATGAACATATTAAATTAAATATTTTTAAATATTGTAAAAAATTATTTGATATTATGTATATATGTACATATATTATATACGCTAAAAATATAATGTTTCTTTAAATATTAAACGAGCTTGGAAGTTTTATGTCAGGAATAAATGACATTTAATATAATCTATTTGTACAGTAAAAAAATACATATTATTTAAAAAAATTTTTTTTGTTTTACCAATAAAATTTAGATTTATCCAATTAACAATTTCATTCAAAAGTTACAAATTAATGGAAGTATTCATATTCTTTACAGCCTCTTATATTCACGTATGTGGTCGCAAAGATCCGAATCTCGATAAATGCATCGTAAACAGCATTTATGACTTGAAGGAGCCAATCTGTAAAGGAATACCGGAATTGAATAGTCCACCACTTGTGCCATTTTCTGTTGAAAAAATAACTATTTCTGACACCAATAATGCTAAATTATATCTTAAAGATACACAAATAACGGGACTTTGCGATTTTATTATAAATTCTTTCCACATAGATATTGATAAACTCCATTTCAATATGGAATTGTTATTCAAGCACGTTAATTTAAACGGTACCTATGATTTTGATATAAAAGTACTGGTACCTTTTGTTCATAAAGGACCAGTTTATCTTACTGCAGGTATGTATTTATTTAATAAACTAAAATAACATAAAAAGTTACAAAAACTTATTTTTATAAACTGTAAAGATTTAATATAAAATTTTGTTTACTGATGTTAAATTATATGTTGTTTCCTTTTACAGATGACGTAGGAGCAAAAGTAGAAGTAGATATGAAACTAGTAACCAAAAATGATAAAAGATACATGTATCTATCAAAAATAAACTTAAAACTTAACTTTAAAAAGTTGGGCTACGTATTTGACCTAAACGAAAATGAATCAGCTCAATTAAACGAAATTATTAGCAATTTCTTTGGCAGCAATGAAGAAGAATTTATCAATAAGGTTAAACCATCAATTGAAGCAGAAGTCTCTAAACAAATACTACATCTTGCAAACAATATTGTTAAACAGTTTACTTTCGATGAACTCTTCCCTGATCGAGAATAAATTGTAAAAACGTTTTTTAAAGATCTATTGTCATAAAGTCGCTCTTAAATTTGCAATTAAAATAATGAGTAATTAAAATCAATCCTTGCAGTATTAAAATTCTTTTATAATAACTATTTTAAAAATCGGTGTGATACAAATTTTATTTTAACTAAATATTTATAAGCAAACATTTTTAAATTATTAATTATTCAATAGTTCAAATAAAAAAGGAATATTATAGTTAATTAAAAGTATTCTGTTTATAATGTTATTTTTGTTTTGGGATGAGATTTTGGAGCAAAATATATTTAATTACTTCATATCAATTTAATGAAATTGTGATACCGCTCTTAAGACATTATTTACCGATTTCATTATGTACGTATATATTTGCTGTTTTATTATTTGTAATTAGTATAATTTATTTCAACATTTACTAATTTTGTTATTGTTATTATTATTAGCAATAAAATAGAAAAACTTATGTATCTATTAGAACTCTTTTCTTATATTATAATAAATAAATGTTATATATTTTATGCATAGAATTAAATATTTCATTTATCAAAATGTTTTTATATTTATAATTATTTATTATCAGTGTTTTTCGTTATCTTAATAAAATTATCTAGATAATAATCTAGATAAAGAAACGATTTTACCTTATCTTCACATCTTATTATTAAGATTATCTTTATCTTATCTTAGATAAAAAAAATGTTATTTTTTTCGAACTATCTAACCGTAAGATTGTACAAGAGTATTATAAGAAATTAACTTTCAGTAGTAGTAGTAGTAATGAGGATCTAATTCTTTACTTTTTTATTTCCTGTGATCGTTACAACGTAATTTGTCATTTTCACTTCGAAACCTTTGGAATTAGAATTGACACACATTTTTAAATATAGTATATGCTCGTAAGTCTCGCATACTATATTATATTAAAACTGTAATTATCATATGCAAATACAAGTTGTGTAATAATAACAAATGTAAAAAAATTGAAAAATTTTATTTAAAAGCGCTATCTATCTTTGATCCCAGACATTTACACATAGATCTAGTATATAAACTTGATGAGTTGCATAAATCAGTCTTGTTCTTGGGTTTGTCATACATCTGAGAAGATTGATATATAATATCATAATTTTAGAAAGTATTATTCGCTAAAAGTCTAATTTAGTTTAAAATATGTTTGTTGTTATTTTTACTCTGGCATTTATAACAGTACATATTGGGGCGGAAATACGTAAGTAAATGATAAATATTACATATTAGCCTTTATCACACTTCATGTGCAAGATTTATCTCTATATACTATTGAAAAGAGGGTTGTTTTGATTTCTTTCTCAGACAACTAACACGAATAAAATATTTTTGAATTAGGTATTGGGTTGGAAGAAAAGTTCTGCGGATTTTGTTAGCTCAAAACTATATATACAATATCTTCATCAAAAATAAACAAAATTTAAATTTAGAAAAAAGTTTTATAACTTGAAATCGTTACTTTTAAAAGGTTTTTATAATTTTTTAGTTCATGTCAATTTGGTGATCTTTACATATAGAAAAACATCAAGCTGAGAAAAGAGAAATTTGTTTCTCACTTTGTGGGTCTGTCATGTACCAAAAAAGAATTTGCGGCAATTTTCAATTATATAACGTTAAAACTTAAAGTTTTTCCTTAAAATTTGTTTAAAAAAAATGTTCCTACGATTTTTGGTTCCTGAATTATTTGCGAAGTAAAAAAACATTTTTAATTGCTTATTCTCCGTCAAAAATTATCATATCGCAATTAAAAAATCAGTTTCTTAAAGCTGAAACTTTGCTCCATTGAATGGTATAATTGCTAATCTTTTAAATGTATAATTTTGGACTAATATACATATATATATATATATATGTATATATAAATTACCGCACGCGCAGAACTTTTCCTCCAACTTAATACTTTATTATAATTTTTAAATAAAAAATTCCTAACAATTTTAATTTAAGCTATAAATATTACAATAACAATTGTTATATTTTGTATAATATATTAGTATCGCGCAAATTATACATCTAGTATTATGCATCATATGTAGAATATGCATTAGATAGTAATAATATATGAAGGACATATATATATGAAAAAGGACTGCGGATGAAGAGAAGCTATTTTCATCATAGTCCTTGAATAATTAATCAAAGCACAGTAGTATTAACATCTACACTCAAGAATTCCTTGTCAAACATTTATGTACGTGTTTTATGGAAATGGCATGTACAAATATATAAGAATGTTTTATAATGAATTTCCTCAATACAGTTTATGTATCTTGTACACTTAACTTGCTACGAGTGCAGTCATTTGTAACAGGTTTGTGTCAATAAATTAAAAGAAGTATTTCCTAATACCTCAACTGTATAATAGAAATGTTAAATGAAAATTCTACGATGTGTTTATAAATCTTTTACCTATTAATTTTATTATTAATTATCATCCCCCATTTTTCCATTTTTTCTCTTTTTTTTCTTTTCTCATTCTCTCTTAAGTTGTTAAAAAATAGTTAAAAAAGTTGTTGAAAAATATTTTACACACAATGTAAAAAGAAAGATGTAACATTGCGCATAATGGCAGTAGTAAGATTGGATAAGGAAAACAGTCGATCAAATTTGAGCTTATGCATTCTCTTACTGCTGTTGAAAATAAAAATCGGAGCGTAAGACGAATGTAATGAGAAAGTAAAAAAAGCGTAAATAAAACTTTTAGGAGATGAAAATTGAAACATCGTAAAAGAAGCGTTTTCGCTTCTTAGAAGCTTTATTTTTATTTTCATTAGGATGCGCATCAATGGAAATGTTACAACCTGCCCTATTATCATGATGATTTTATCATTTTATCTTTTCGTTATTCATATTTATGTCACTGTTTAATTTTGTCTAAGAAAGTGTTGTTTATTAAGGAAAATAATAATGTAAACTTTTTACAGCCTCCTATATTCATGTATGCGGCCGTAGAGACCCGAATCTCGAACAGTGTATCATAAATAACGTTGAGAATTTGAAAGGAAAGATCTGCGATGGAATTCCAGAATTGGGCATTCCATCTGGAAATCCATATACTTTTGATAAACTACTCATTACCGATGGGCCTAACACCAAAATTTACATTAGAGATGCAAAAGTAATGGGAGCGTGTGATTTTGACATAAAATTCCTTCACGCAGATATCGATAGACTCCACTTCGATGTTGAAATAGTATTCAAACGGATCGAAATAAACACCACATATGATTTTAACATACGTTTATTGGTGCCTATTGCTTATAAGGGATTGATTCACCTAATTATAAGTATGTAAAAAGTTAATGTATTAAATAATAGTTTAAAAAACTTTAAATATTGAAGCAATATCAAGTTAATGTATTAAAAAATAAGACAAAAAGAAATTTTAATATTTAATTTAATTTTTTAATATTTAATTTAACTTTTTAATATAATTTAATGTTTAATTTTTTCTATTTTATGTTTTCTTTCGCAAATAATAAATTATGATTTGCAGATAATGTAGAAGCAACAGCAGACATAGATATGAATGTGACAACTAAAAATAACACGAAATATGTATATTTATCAAAGTTGAAGATTAATATTGATTTCAAAAATTATAACATCGAATATGATGTGAACAATTTGGAATTAGAACAATTTCGCGAAATCATTAAGAATTTTATCGGTAATAATCGAGAAGAAATTATTAAAATTCTTAAACCAGCTATAGAAGCGGAAATTTCCAGACGAATTATCTTGATTTCTAATAATGTAATTAAACGTTTCACCTATGAGGAGCTTTTCCCCGATAAAATATAAACTATATAAAACGCAATATTAAGGTTGTCTAATGTGTGACGTTATTTATATATGTGTGATTCATTTAAGAGTGTATACTTACAATTAGTTAGAAATTTTAAAAACATCGATTTTTTAAAATAATATTTTCTTAAAGTATATAATGTTAGAAATATTTTCCCTCAAAATTTTAAGTTTATTTGCTGTATTCACGGAGATATACGACTTTTGAGTATATGTTCATCAAAGCGCTCTTATAACAATCTAATGCGGCAGCTGCACAAGGGATAAATATTATCTCGTTCTGTCTGCCTGTCAGCTGGTCATCTCTATTATGTTAAAGTATAAGTACTTGTGTATATACTTAGCATAAATGACTGTAAATTAAAAATAAATCTTTAATTAGCAGTAAACTGCATTTGAAACTTTAAACGTATTTTTCTTAAAATATTGCTTATTTATTATTTTTAAAATAAGTTATAATAGTGTTAGTGCTGTGAATATAACTTCAAAAATGGTAGTGAAAACTTTTCGCGTTTCAGAGTTGAAAAAAAATGCCGCGAAAGCTTAAGAAATGATTTGCTCAACTTTAGGCGGAAACTCTGTGTCGTGCAGTACATTAAAAAGTGGTTCCAAAGATTTATACGATGCTAATTTCAATGTTTTTCATCATAGAATTTATTGACTCAAAATAACTATCTTTTTTCTCAAGCGGAATTAGACAATTGCCTGAAAGATGGCGAAAATGTGTGGAAAGTGAAAGGAATTACTTTGACTAGGTTAATATTTGTTCTTTTATAATTTTATATCGAAATTTGGTAAAGAAGGTCGAGAGAGAGAATTAAGTTGCAGACTTAATATTTATAATTACAAAGAATTTATTTATTACAATTCGTTATTATATTATTATAATATTAGTGTTGTATTGAATGGGATATAATAAATTTATCTTTTCTAAAAAGAAAGGGTTGTTTATTAATTTAAATCATTCAATTTTTTAAATAAGTTATATTTATAAATTAAAAATGTTAAATTTTTATAGAATGACATAGGATTAAATATTATCTCTTCTTATTCGTGAAAAGATGTGCATTATTTAAAACATAATTGTAATTAATTTAAATGTTATTATGTAAACTGCAAAGTTTATAAGTTACTTTACATTAAAATTGCAGTGACATTAAGAAATATAAAAAAAATAAAAATTTGATAATTAATATTTTAATTGTGTTAGCCGTTATAAAAATTGCGTCAATAAACATTTTACAAATTTTTTAATTTTTTAATTTAATTTTTGATAAATATATGATGTAGAAAGAATTACAGCTTATGTCTTTACAGTACTACTTATTATTTACAATGAAAATTTTTTAACATTTATCTGCAAAGTAAAGCATATTATTTACTGTGTATCGATAAATATGTTTTCGCACTGACATTACCTTACAAAGCTATCAACCGTCGAGTACGTCTAGTTAATAACAAAAGAATTGAAATTATCATAAAGTGATGAGAAAAGATTTTGTACTGATCAAGCAGTATCTTACTGAATTAGCAAGACATATATAATTTTATCAATAAAAATTAAGGATGTACCGAATTATAAAATTATCGGGGATATTGAATATTGGATATCCGGAAAGAATATAATACTTACGGATATCCGCTTAGATATCTAGTAAAGCAATTATTTGATTGAATATTTAAAAAAAGAAACGAAAAAAGGAAAACAAGGAAAAAATAACAATAATAAATATCCCTATCTCCCCCCCCCCAACGCGAAAAGAAATTATATTTTAATTCCGTTTTCTTCCCAATATGATAGAAAAAAACGAACTAAAAAAATTAACGGTATATTTTTATTAAGCTATTAGCGTAATAATCTAATAAGTATTTGCTGCATAATACTATACTATTTATTTTTAATCATAGTAGAATGTTTTTTATTTCTCCTTATAAATTTTTGCGTTTAATTTGTTTAACGTGTTGAACATCAATGTCATATTTGATAGAGTCATTAAATAACTTATGCAACTTCCTTGTACTTTGCAATTAAGATAATCGATAAAAGCCATTTCTTAATACATGTAATATTATATATTCGGTTTTTACAAAATAAAAAATATGAACATAGGTCATAAACAATCCCATTTCGTCCATTACCTTGCAGAATTCATGTTCAAAAAAGCATGTGATACACGCATGAACGCTTTCTTTAATATAATGGCTAAGAATACCTAATATTTAACAATATAAATATTGAATAAATCAAATCAACAAATGGAAAAAGGTAGACATTACACGTAATAAAATATTTTCTGCTTTACAAACACAAATTCTTTAAAATCACATTTCTTTCGCTTTAAACGCAAATTCTATGCTTTTATTAAATCAAAGAATTATATTTATAACAATTTCTACTCGAAGAATGTCATAGTTATTATAATATTCGAGTTTTATTGTAAGAGTTATTATTGCGTAACTATAAATAATATAAACCAATGAATACCGATGAGAATATGCCGTAACGCGTCAAGCTAGATCCCGAGGTAATGTTTTTCACAATGAAAAATTAATGATTTACAGATTTAATATGTCATTAAACATTATTAAGATCGATGCGCAAAGAGCATTTAATATGTCATTCAAAAATTGTTAAATTGTTAGTCAATTTAACTCGTAATATTACTGTGATAGTTTAGTAGTGTTGCGTTTTAAGTCTGAAAAAAATTCAGCGCGCAATTATATATTACAGAAGCACCTCTGTTCTCATCGGTATTTTAAGCATTTATTGGTTTAAATTCTCACGGTCTAATAAGATTTGATATTATAAACAATATTGTGCTATCTTAGCTAATATTATAAAACCTGTATGATTCTTCAGAATAATATTTAATTCTTTCCTACACTTTGAATATTTAGTATTTTATATTTTGCACAATTATTGTGCGTAATAATTAACGTTTAGTATTTTATAATTATTTGTTAATACAAGTTTGTATAACAATTAATTATTTTACTGACAAATTATCAGATTTACACATAAATTTGTATGATTGAGTTTGCGTAACATTGCAATAACCTTGAGAATTGTGTACACTCTTCCTTTCGCAGTATATATATATGTGACTCAATCTGTATCTGTATGGCTTACTAGAAAAATTTTGTGAATTTCGTTCGTTTAGTTGTTGTTTTAGATCCTTATTTTAAATAAATTTAGACAAGAATTTATCGACGCAATTTTGTACATTTTTTTAACTCAGAAAAGTAGACTGCAAAAAGAATTTTGTGCACACGTGCGTATGGCTGAAGAGTTGTCAGTAAGCGTGTATAAAAACTGGTACAAATGTCGATGTTGCGATTCACCGAGGTCAAATCGAAGATGGAAACCTGCAGACCCTGCTTGAAAACTCCACTGTAACGACGCAAGAATTCGCAGAAATGCTTGGGAACCAGTCGCGATTGTAAGCCACAGGCTCAACGTGGTTTGTGAAAAAACTTATCCATAGATCTAGTAAAATGCAGTAAATGAAAAATATCTTAATATTATAATATCTTTTTACATTAAATTTTCTTATAAAAATTTTAAAGATATTTTCTTAAATATATTTTCTTCTAAAGATTAAAAAAAAACGTAAAACCTAAGCAAAGAGTATCCTAATAATAAGAAAAATATTATATGAACTATAAAATTAAAACATTTTATTCAATTGTATAAACATTCTCTCTATTACTATTTTCTCTATGAATTACAAATAAACTCTTAATATAATCTATATAAAGATTAGTGTAGATCTTTTCATATAGATAGATATTAAGAATTTATTTAATAACGGTTATGTATTGTAATATTTATAATTAGTTACGAAGAATAAAAGAATAGTCTTTTTTGCTAATTACTTTGCGATCAATAAAACTTTGCACATAAAAAAATAAAAACAATTGTATTTAATTGTTAATATTAATATATAGAAATGAAATGTTGTATTCGGCACATATCATATATAATATATATTTATATCACGTATCATTTACATTTTGTGAATACAATTTTTGGACAATATTTTACAATTAGATTTATTTTTAGATTATTTTAAAAATATTTAGAAAGTAAAAATATTTCAATTTGTTGTTAACATTTTATTTGAGATAATAATTTGTTTAAAGTCCGGTAAAGAATATAGGTGTATTAGTCTTGACGCAAGTCTTATTTGTTACCACAACTAATTATGTTTTAAAAATAGATTGTATATATATTTAATTGTATACAATTTGAAGAAAAAAAATTGGAATTCATTAATTAAATTCTCTTCAATTGATCGGTTATAATTATAACTACATAACTTTTATTTAAAAAAGTTATCTTCCTTGTTACGTAATCAAACTGCAAGGTTGTATTCTGCGTATTAATATTTAGGTTATAATCTGATACTTTCCAAGAACATTTATGTTGTCAGTTATTTTAATACTTCAAAAAATAATTCCGTTATTTCATTAAAAAATAAAAAAAATCACAGTTGAAGATATATTTATATTTGTTTAATACGTTAAAAATAAGAAAAATTATAATTAAATTAAATAGTGTCTGTAGCAATTGTATGAACATAATTCTCTTATTTAAAAAAAAAATTGATCGATTTCTCCTTTTTATCGATTTTTAGCAATACTATTTTACTACTGAAATATTTTACAATACTTTTTGGATTGTTTAAATAAGCACATTTTAAAAATTTATTTATGTATACATGCAACATTTACATAAATATTATTTCATGTCCTGTACGTATATCAAATATATTTTAATTTAATAAAATATGTCTTTTTACATGAAAGATTGTATTATTCTTTCGTTACTTATTGTTGAATTTTACTTAACTTTACTGATGTAAACAGAAATGTGATCGTTGATTTTATATGAGTCATGGCTATAGAGTAAGAAAGAGACTGGTTAATAAAATATTGAACAAGGACGCATATATATATATATATATAAGCTCCAGCAATACGCAAGAATCAGTCTTAATACCCATTCGCTATTCAGCTGTTTGGTTCACTTTACAGTATATACCTATCTTTAGAAAGTGTTTCTTAAAAGATAAATTTCAGATTGTAATATGTTTACTATAGTTTTTGCTTTTGCGCTTATAGCAACAAATTATGTTGCAGCAGAAATACGTGAGTAAAAAAAATATATATGTTTGTCTTTGTCACAAAAAATGCTTATAATTCTTCTTTATTAATTTTTTTATCGACTTTTTTTGTAGATAAAATATTTTATGTTAATAAAATATTATATTTCAAGATAATCGTTGTGTAAAGAAATATCTTTGCTGTTGCAGACATTGCGATAATATTAATTATAAGGTATAATGCAATAGCTCAACGAGTTAATGCAAACTGCATGCCTAGCACTCGCCAGGTCGTAAACATGTACCTATTAGATAGCAATAACGTGAACGCGTATTAGAAAAAATACTTACGAAAAGAAGCTATGTTCCACCTTTGAAGCACTTAATTAAAATGATAGGTGTAACCGATATCAACTTCAACAAGAGTTTCTTGTCAAACATTTCGTTACGTGTTTTATAATACAGCACATACATTTAGAAGAGAACGTCTTATAAAGAATTTTTCCAACGCGACAACATATTTCGTAGACTTGACTTGCTGTGCAGTCACCTGTAATAGATTTATATTTAAAAAAATATGTTCTAATACAAAAACAGTGTAACAAAAGTATTAAATAAAAATTCTGTAGTAATATTCAAGATATTTTTATTTTCAAATACTTTATTATCAAATATAAAATTTATGAATAAATATAAAATTTAATTCGTCAATATTCAGGATTTTTTTACTATTAAATACTTTATTATTAAATATATAAAACTAAATATAAAATTTAATTCATTAATTATTTCACGTATGCTGTGATTTAATTAAAAATTTTACATTATTTTACATTTTTCAAGATTTGATATTAACGCTGTTAATATTATCATAATTTAATATTACAAACTATATATCATTTACTATATATATATATATTGCATAAAATATATATATCATAAAAAAATTGCTTTTTTTATTTTTTACGTTCAGAATTTTATTTGAGTACTTCAAGATTTAGTATTAAATATATTTTTATATTATCGAAAGTATATATTTATTGCGCACTTCTTACTGCGTTGACTCCTAATAGCCGTTTTTAAATTTGTTTACATTATTTTATTATAAGGAATCCTTTAATATTATGATAGCTTTTTATTTTTTACATTTTGTCATCTTTTATTTCATTTATTCTTTAATATTAATAATTTTATTCATAATTAATTTAATAAAGATATAATTATCTTTTACAGCTTCTTTTATTAATGTATGCGGACGCAAAAATCCGAATCTTAATAAATGCATCTTGGACAACATTGATAATATAAAAGATAAGATCTGCGAAGGAATCCCGGAATTGGACGTTCTGCCGAACAATCCATTAGTTATTGAGAAACTAATCATTTCTGATACGCCAAATTCTAAGATATCTCTTCAAAATGTGAAAGTGACGGGAATTTGCGATTTTGTCGTAAAATACCTTCATTCAGATCTCGAGAAACTTCATTTCGATGTTGAACTTTTATTCAGACGGCTCCAATTGAATGCCACGTACGATTTCGACATACGTTTATTAGTGCCTATTGTTAACAAGGGACCGGTTTACATCACTACAAGTACGTAAGATAAACGATATTGCGTTATACTTATATGATAATTAAAAAGACAGAAATAGTACATTGTGTAACATGTATGTTAAAGTTGTTTATTGTGCGACGCGGGCGCGGGGAAGCGTCGCTTCGCTCGTGCGCTTCCCCGCGCCCGCGTCGCGCTATAGACAATTATAGCATATGAGTTGCACATAGAGTTTTTCACCACGAGTGCACTGTGTTAGTAATATGTTATACAATTATAAAGTCGCACGAGCAAAACGAGTGCGACTTATGGGATGGTGCGTGGGGCGCAGGAAGCAGGGGGAATTCGGGGGGAGGGCGCGGCCCGAAAAAGAAATTAAAATATTTCGTAAATAAATATTTAACAATACTAAATTTTGTATTGCTCATTACTTTTAATTATAATTGTGAGATTATTACAATTTGAAATTATAAATTTAAACGCGCGTTATTATAAGTTGAATGATATTTATAGATACTGTATTGTCGTTTTGTCGTAGTTACTTTTATTATTGGAGAAAACTATGCTTATTTTTTTCCCCCCCCAGATGCCCCGAAAGAACGCTTCGGTCGCGCGCGTTTCTCCGTGTTGATATTTGTACGAGCGCTACCACTGTGTTGCGTTATTTTTCATAATGTAACGCTTTTGCATGGGGTTAGAGAAATAACTCAACGGCTTGAGGTATTGGCTATTTACCGCACGCAAAAACGTTAAATAGGGCACATTACGTGCACGCGTGAGGAAAATAAAATAATGTCTATTTCAACGTAATGATTTACAATTCGATACTTTTTCGTCATAATTATTAATCTGGATTTTGTAGATAATGTAGAAGCAAAGGTAAATTTGGACATGAAAGTAGTAACCAAAAATGGCAAAAGATATGTGTATTTAGCAAAGATGAAGATAAATCTCGACGTCAAAGGATACACCGCTGAGTATGGATTGAATAATGCAGAACAAAATCGACTAAATGAAGTCATTAGCAATTTTATAGGCAACAATCAAGAGGAGGTTATTGCTGTCTTCAAACCAGCATTAGAAGAAACAATTGTCAAACGAATTCTCTTGCTTTCCAATAATATAGTTAAACACTTTACATTAGAGGAACTTTTCCCTGATCGAGAATAAACCGCATAATAAGAGTTTTTAAGTTCCATTGTTACACAATCATTTTGCCCATTTTGTGATTTATTTAAATCTTTCGTACGTCCGGGTATCCCAAAAGAGATGCGTTTTGTATGAAGATGGTTTTATAGGGGATTTTGGGGATGCTGATTCTAAATTTAAATTTAAAATAATGGCAGTCATGAAGAACTGAAATATATTAGTATTATACATTTAAAGTATAATTTTGAACTTTACTTTTTTAAATATATATCACAGCATACATGTACATAAGATTCTGAATATATAATTAGCATTAATTCTATTTTTCGATGTAATATACGATATATATAATATACGATTATAATTCTTAACTATCCAAAAATTTTATATTTTGTAAAATTCAGATAGCTTATACATATATATTTTATGAAAACATTACATTTCAGAGTGTGAATTTTTTACGTGCAGCTTAAACCTTCTTTTTTAGAACAAGTCAAGGTAAAAGTCGATACAATTAATTGTTTATTAAAAGTTATAATTTTTTAGTAGATAAGATATATATGTATATCTCGGAGGTACGAAAGAATTATTTGGAAAAATATTTGGAATTAAAGTTTGTGTTAAATTAAAAATTTTAAATACTTTTTCTATTTGTTTGGGCATAATGTTTATAAGAATTTTATATCTAATTTTTGATATAAGTGTTATAAAATTATTAGAAAAAATGAAAACATGTAGATATAAAATTGCTATGATGTGCTTTTTATTTTACGTATCCTTATATTTATATCTTTAATATCTATTTATAATATAGATATAATATATATTTATGTATTATATACATAATATATGTTATTTATCTAATTTTATGACTATATTTATGTCGTTAGAAAATCCTTAACTTTACGGCTATGAAAACTACTCTTAAATTCTAAAGCGTCCTGTTTCAAGTATAGAACTTCCGTCTTATAGCGATTGATAAAAAAAAGGAAAAAAGATATCAAGCTTTTTATATAATTTAAAAACTTATAGTATTAATCATACAGATTGTACAATCGTCCAAAAATTTTGACTTTGGTTTCAAATGACTCGTTGCTGTAGTTGAGGGTTAACAACCTAAATATGTCTACATATGTTAAAAAAAAATTTTAAAAAAGTTGTATATTAAACAATAAATTACTTTAAGGTAACATACATAGAGTTAAATATTGTATGTGTTCATTATAGTGTATTTTATAATGTTGAAGAAAACTGCTTTAAATAATTAAATATTGTTGTACCTATGTGATATTGTTTTCCTAAAAGAAATTTAAACAAAAAAAGATAAAGCAAATGACTTGATAAGTCTCAATTATATTTAAGATACGTTATATTTATTGTCAATTTTATGTTAATTACGGTACTATAAGTTGAGTATGGTTGCAATTACTTGTGTATTGCAATAATTTAAAACCTCTCTAATGCATAAATTATAATTTCTAATATGAATTATAAATTGTTTGACGTAGATTTCATATGTACATAGATTTAATAATCAAAGATTTTACTTATCTGTATGTAATACAATTTATTATTAATATTCTGTTATTAATATTTTTTATTAATACTTTGGTTAGTTGTTGATGCAACAATGTCATTACAAGCACATTTATTAAATTAAATTAAATTAATATATCGTTTAATATCTTTGTAATAAATTACAAATTACAATAAATATCACAATACAATTCGCAAAATGGATTGACTGGTAGTATTATTGTAAAGAATGTGTAATAATACTTAAGATAAGCTTCTGATTAATTTATAAAATGTTACACATACCTATTTAAAAATATGTGAGTTATTTCACAAATAAATTATAATTTTGGAGGAAATATATACCCTACCGTGAAAGTCGCATAAGACATAATCATATGTCATGGTATATGTAAAAGATCCAATAATGCTAATATCATTTAACAAATACTATAGTCAGAAACTTTCGATGATTCATAAAGCATTGAATTTATCGATTTTGGTACGACAATTACAAAAGTATTAAAGTAATATTACAAGTCTATAAGTTATAATCACAAAGATTATACAGCTGATTGTTATTTCTTTCTTAGCAAGCAAATTAGACCTATTTTGAACAGTACCGTTTATTATGCGTTGATAATCGTTTTTTATTTGCATCTGATTGATTCAAAGTTTTTAATTCGAGTTAATAATGAAAGAATTAAAATTGAAACAAAAATTTTGCTGTACTGTGCTCTATTGACAAATTTGGAGAAAAGTACATGATTTTCGACCAAGAAATTTCCACATCTAATTCTAAGTACTATAATAACTTAATTTTTTTTTGCAATTAATGGTAATGGTAACAAATCCATAAATTGCGTGTCAAAAAATTTTATGATAAAACTGACAAAAATGTTTTTCCAATTTTTTTTAAAGAATTTACACTATTTAAAAAATATCTTTTCTTGTATTTTCTTTTTAAAAGTTTTTTTTTATTGTATCATTACTCTTTTTAAGAGTTGCGCAAATGCTCGACTAATTTATCAGATCATAACGTTTTCTGCAAGACGATTATAATGGAATTTTTAAGTAATACTAACAAGTTGTTCCATAATTCTGGTTTAATTCTTCTCTTGTTTTCTATCAAAATTGAATTTTGGTTTAGTTCTGATTAAACCATTCATCCTTGTGTTATAAAATTTTAAAAAACTTAGGAAGGTAGATTCAATATAGTGAAAAACAGCAATAAATTTTCCTGATTCACTCTATTGCTTATTTTGTAATTTAGCAAAAAATTTAATTTATGTTTTCCAGCCCGCCCGATCACTATTGGTCGATTTATGCGCCGGGGAAGAGTTGTGCGAATGTAAACTGTTGAATGATACTGCTAGCAATATCCTGAAATGAATCAGATAGTCCCTTTTCTATTTGCGGCGAAAGCTCCTTCAGGAAGATATCGAAATTGTTGTTGATAGCCAAATTAATGACATCTCCAAGGGCTTGTTCGCCACCAAATAGATTATCTAGCTTTATCATTCCTTTTCCTACTGAGATTTTCAATTTGAAGTCCTTGATGCGCATCTTCTCTTCGCCGTCCTCGTCGAGATATTTTTCAATCTGTATTTTGCAAGCGCCTGAAAAGTTGACCGAGATTTTATAAGATGAATAATTCAAATGTATAAAATTACAGAATTAGAATTTATATACGGCAAGTACCTATGCAATTTGAAAAATTGCCATGAATCGGGCCGGATCCGCGAATCGGAAGTAACAGTAACTTGCCGTCGATTCCATATATCCCTTCAACTTGAATATTTGGCAGTTCCACATCCACAAGAACGATCAAAGTGTCTAAATCGATTCTTGGAAAAAAGAACGACAGTATTAACACCTAATCAAGAAAATAACGGGAGAAATTCGTTGTACGCTCATTACACCTTCCAATTTATGCCTGTATAATTTCCATTTATATAAGTGAAATTATTTAACTTATGACAGAAATCTCTCAAAATGATACAAGTAGGATTTTCATTTTGCGTATCTCAACTAATCTTTTTTAATCTAAGTCTGATATAAAGATTACGATTTACATGAATTCATAAATTTTTGTTGCGGCATAAATATTGTTACTATTGAATCACTATATACCGTTACCGTGTGTTAACTTTGTAATTTTCTACACATCTAGTATAATGTAAGATTTTTAATAAAAATGTTTGCAATTAAAATAAAATTATAAACAATAAATTACATTTAATTTCTAGAAAATTATAGTATTATACATTCTTGGCATTATTGTGTTGAGATATAATACAAAGAGTCAATACGAACAGTATAATATGCATTCTATGGAATGTGGATGGATATCTTGATGGATACACGATATATTGGATTAATGAATTTCTCTTTCATAGTTCTCACACATGGGAAATTATTACAATACTGATAATTTCAATGCACAGCGTCGAGCCTTCCTTATTATTTACATTATTACAACGCTATTGTAAGTTCTGTCTTTTTCTACTGCTTTCTCAACGCTCGACATATTGTTTAATATAAATGTATTTTCAAATTTTAATTTCGTATGCTACTTTTAGAGAGAAACACCACCGGCGATTACAATTTTCGTCCGGTTTTCTGGTCCGTATCGATTATTTAACTCTTTTTTGCAATCTTCGAGAAGTAGGCATGAGTATTGTTGACGCTTTGTAGACACACTTGGAGTGTTCGTGTCACGGCCGTCTATGCGTAGAATACAAACGACACAGCGTCCGTTCCTCAATTGCTTATTACAAATTGCATAATTTTCTTTAAATGTGATTATGTGTCTTTTTAAAACACTTGATTCGTCTCATTATTCTGTGCGCAAAAATATTGAAGTCGAATCATTAAAAATAAATAATTCATAAAAAATTTTGTATCTTATTATGTTAAAATATGTATATTAAAAGAAAATATATGAAATCTTGTTTAAATAGTTATTTATTTTAATATTTTTAGTACATTATGATTATAGGAATTATAATTAAAAAATTATTAGTGCATTATTTATAAAATATTAATAAAACGTGAAATTTTTTAAAAGAAAAATTACATTTAAAAATACAATACAAATATTACGAAGTCATACACATTTCTTTATTTTAAATATTATTATTAATAAAGTGTTAGCTTTTTTCAAAGCATTCTATAAAAAATTTGTAGCATTATTCTTTTTTCTAAAGCTGTAGAATGTTTATTCAAAACGTTTTTTTAAATACTTTACCATACATTTGGAATATTGTTGTTTTTTCCGTATTTTATAAATTTATTTTTTTTCTATAATGAATTGCCAGGTAGTATGCATCACAAGTCAATGACAGTAAAAACATCATAATGTGTGCATAATCATCTCTTTGTAATCTTATGTAATCTGGCTGGATTTATTGTGAAGGAGAGAGAGAGAGAGAGGGAGGGAGAGAGAGAGAGAGAGAGAGAGAGAGAGAGAGGGAGAGAGAGAGAGAGAGAGAGACAATGTGATTCAATTTAACATTATGAATGATTCGTAGACTTAAATTTTGCGCAAAAGGATGTCATTATCTAATAATATTTTCTTACAAGGTCACTACTCGCATAATTGTGCAGAGATTCAACACGCTTGTTTAAAAATAAAGACAAGCACGCTAAAGTGATTTGTAAGATTTCATTAATTTGAATTTTATTGTATTATATCATTTACGTTATGTCATTTTTGTGAAAACGAAAACCGTCGGTTCTATCGGAGGAAGAAGGGAGGAAGACCAATTACGTTTTATTTAACAAATTAATTAAATTAAATTCAGTTAAAACATCTAATTTGTTAAATAAAACAAGTTATCGATATACCTGATATTAATAATTACAAAAAAATATTTTGCAAGAATATCAAGTTTAACTTTATGTTAGAGAATTAGCGACAAAGAATACTTTTCAAATCTGCTCATAAAAAAATTTTAAAGTATTTATACTGTTGCAATTATTTCACAGACATATTACTGTATCGCGTGTTCGCATTTTTTAAAACTAATTTTGGTAAATTGTTCTGTAATAAATAGTATTACGTTTTTTATACTTACTTCGCTTTTTTAATTATAAAGTTACTAGCACCACGTGTCACGATTTCAGATGCCTCCAATTGTAAACTACTTGTTGGAGCAAACGTTAATTTTTTTAGTATGAGAGGCTCCAATGATGGAATATTGTATTCTGGTACACCTGTCTTAAGGTACGGCTTCATATGTTCTATGCTCTCTCTGATACATTCCTCGTAATGCGGATCGCTCGTTTGGCAAACATGCAGGAACTCGGCTGCAATTATAATGAAAGCTATCATCAGATTGATACATACACAGTAAAATGGAAAATATTAAATAATAAGCAATTGTTGCTATAAATTTATATCATTAATCCTTAATTTTTATTTACCGTTTAATTTTTATTTGTAATTACAAGATTTAATTTTTATAAAATGTAATACTTTTTTAATATAATGCATTTATACGATCTTTGTGATTAAGAGAAAATTTTATATTTATTATTCACTCTCTTTCTCTCTCTCTCTCTCTCTCTATTCAAATATTTTTATATTAATGCAATGTAAATATAATTTATAAAGGAATATATTCTGTTAAATTGATTTATATTTTTTATGTAATATTTCTTGAGATAATTTTTATGTAATATTTCTTGATATAATTAGAATATAAAAATAAGATTAAAATTTATATATGTAAAAATATTCAATTTAATGACACATATAATTTTTCATTCTACACAAATCAAAACTCTCACAAATGTTTCTTATGCGATAAGTTACTTTTTATATAAGCTAGCATTATTTAGTATTTTTATGAATATTTATTAAATGATATTAATATTTCCAAAAAATATTTCCGAACGTTTATTTTATAATGTAAATAAAATTGTCAAATGTTCTCTATTAAATAAATTTTATTTTTCTTAAATGTTTTTAAAAATAACAACTGATTAATTTTAACATTTCCTATGAGATCCCCTGTATAATATATGTCCGTGTATGTGTGTCCAATTCTTCAAATATTCGTTTAATAATATGTTCTTCGTGTAAAATTGTTATATAAATAAAATTCTATGTATATTTTTCTTGAATAAATTCTAACAAAAATTATAAATCACCTGGAGTATTTAATCTTAATGTTGATATTAGCTTAAATTGCATATAAGTTTATCTTAAACTGCAAACGTATTTAAAAAATTTTAATTATAATGTTAATGACAGATATTAAATCAACTTTTAGAATTCAGCTCTTCTCTCTCTCTCTCTCTCTCTCTCTCTCTTGTTTCTTATTTGATAACTTCCTTATATAATAGTATACTAGAAGAACAGCATAAGATTACGAAAAATAAATCATATAAAACTATCCTTGAAAAGTTTTTATTTCATTGACATTAATTGTCAGTACTTATGATACTAATCAATATTAAAGCATAAATATTACTTTTGAGGGATTTTACCTATATTGTTTACTTACGTATATCTCGTGAAGCTATTACGCCCGTCGTCGCCACTGTCAAGAGAATCGTAAATGTTGCCTTCACTGATGCCATGTTTTACAAAAATGGAAAATAAGCAGACAGGAAGCTCAACGGAATTGTCTTCTGACAATAAAGACCTGGGTGCAAGATTCGACGACGGGGTTGCTGGACCGAGGACCCACGGTGGCAGGTGGTCCGAAGATGGTCGGGCTGGAAGTGTTGACCTAACAATCCGAACGTCTTATAACAGTGACCATCTCTCCTTCTCCATATCATTCACTACCCCCCACAAACAAAACAAAAGTCATTATTGTTACTTATATGATATCTGTCTTCATGCACTTGCAAAAAGAAAAGTGCATGTACCGATTGTGAGAATGAACATGTACAGATGGATGATTTGATTGTGGACATGCGTATTATGCAGACAATGACAGCCTAATATATGCTTTTTCATTAAACGGTATCACGGATGTTGCTTCGGTTTCATATCTCATGGATTTCTACTAAAAGCAAAGAGGAAATGACAAGGTCATATGATGTCTGATCAAATAATATCGGAGGAAATTCTACATAAATAATCAATTTCTCGTTACATAGCAATTATAATTGAAAGATTCACTAGTTTTTTTGAAAAACTAATTTGAAAAATAATTGTAATGTTTTTCTGTTTTCTAAATTTTGTTTTTATTAGGGTTTAAATTAAAAGATTAAATTCGCTCTCTTTAATTTTATTAAAATTTGTACATAAGAATGTTATAAGGATAAAAGGTGTATTATATGCATTTTTTAACAAAATGAAAAAATTATTAAAAATTACAGATTTTTCATATTTTATTTGAAAATAATACAAAAGTTTGGCGGTAATTTAGAATCTGGATTAAAAATTATTTTAATTATAGACGATTATAGTGATTTGATATGTAAACATATTTCTTTTTAATTGAAATAAAATGAGAAAATGTTTATTAAAACTATATAAAATTGTATTATTAAATATAAATATTTATTAAAACACATTATTAAATTGTTTCATAAATATATGTAATAAGTATATAATTATATCATACTCTTTTTTTATGTGAAAAGTATAAGTTTTTGGATTCAATCATTTTTTACAGATACACATCTGACGTATCTTTAGAATATTATTGATTCTTTTTTTGTAAATGAAGATTTCTTATTTATTTATAATAAGAAAATATAAGGCTGTCAAAGAAAATTTTTTACACAATGGTCTTATTCGACGCTCTTCCTTTCAAAGATTTAATGTAAAACTGGCGATAAGATTATATATATTCGATAAGAATAAAGAAACAAGTTGATCTAATTTTAACATTTTTTGCGATATTGACAGATAGTAATTTTACAATATATTCAATAAATATTATACAAAAATGTAGCGCATCAAACAAGATATTTTACACATTTTAGAATATGCAATTGCAAATAAATTAGAAATGCTTATATATATATATATATAATCCTTTTTTTATCATAATACATTTTTGTCATAATAAAAAATAACAGAATTCTAGTGCTGTAAAGAAATGCAAATGTATCACGAAAATATTGGAAACGATGAAAGATTTAAAATAAGTATAAATTATTTAATTAAAAATATATGTATAAAAACAAGTAAGCCATAACTTAAAAAAATATTTTAAAAGTTGTAAAAATTATTCAAGTTATGTGTTTGCTCTCATTTTAATCAAAGCGATATTGCAGTAAAAATCACATCTAATAAATTTAAATTATTTTCTAACATTTCTTACATTTTTTATAGAAGCTATATCTTCATAATTTTAGTATCATATATACATTTATCTATTTATTTTTACATTATATTCTTTTTATATATAAATCTGTAATGAAATTTTATATTTTATATACACTTATTTGATTGTTAGAAGATATTTACTTTATATACTTATTTAGAACTTTTTATTTCTGTATATTGTGTTTATAGTGATATCTTATAAAGTACCTATGTTGAGCGCTAAAGCGTTTGCATTTAATGTTGCATCTTGACGAAAGTTTATCATTTAATGTGCCGAATATTGAAAAAGATTTTAAAATGTTGGTTGAAAACGTAGCTATGACCTGATAGTAATTTATTTTTAAAAACCATCTAAGTGACCATCTTTAATAAGTGACCAATTAAATAATAAAAGACAAATGTTTCAAGCTGTCTGTATATGTATATTACGCAACATGCAGACATTTTGCTATTTGACCATTAATGTGATTATGCATACGTATACGTACCAAAGAAATACGTAGTGAAAAATGTGTGATGACGAATCAATGGAAGTAGAAGTGTAAAAGGCATAATTTTCACAGTTTTTCCTAAAGTTTTTTCACAGTTTTTCCTAAAGTTAAAGATTATGTAAGTGATAATATGCGAGAATCAATGTTTTATACACGTCAATAGTCATAACCCTCTCTCTCTCTCTCTCTCTCTCTCTCTCTCTCTCTCTCTCTCTCTCTCTCTCTACACCGAAGTTATACATATAATATTTAACTATTGCAAATAAAATAGTAATTTTTGAATGTTCTAAATGCTCTTATATACAAAAAAAAGTGATTATCTTTTAACACAAATTAAATAACTATTTTTATATTATAAAATTTTTTAAAGGATTTATATTTATACATATAATAATATAATATAAATATAAATAAATTGATAAGTATATAGATATAAGTAATTAAAACAATAAAAACATAATAGCTTCTAAAAATCTAAGAAATATCACAAAATTATTTAAATTTAAGATATGTACGATTAAGTTTTAATTATTTTTTGTGACATATTTGTAATACATATGCATTTCGTAATTTACAATTTCAAAATTTTTATTTCTGTAAACTATTTTGAGACGTTGAAACATAGTAAAAGTAAAGTCTTACAGGCGAGAATAATAACTTCCTGACATTCGAGAATGATTGTTTACGTGCGCACGAATAATTAAGCTAGCTGGGATTAGTAAAAAACATCATAATTGGTGTTTATCCATTAAATCAAAGAAGTCATTGGAGTTATCAGAGCTGTGATATAACGCTTATTGAATCTAAACTGAACGCCTACCAACATTGATAGATTATTATAATTCTTCTTTTATCCATTAATACAGAAATCGGTTTTACTATTAATAAAAATATATTGTGGATTATTTTATTTTAAAAAATTATGTAACATTTTATATTTTTATACAAAGAGATAAAAATTTATAATAAATATTTTAATCAAATATTTTAATTGAATTAATTGTAGGCTCAGTTAAAGGGGAACACCACGGTGACGAGTTTAAAAAATCGATATTTTTTTATTACATTTTTGTAATGCTTGGAGTCTTAAAAATATGTCCCTATAATATTATGTTGAAATTCCTAACGGAACAATAGTAAATATGTGATAGAGTAGAACGTGGTCAGATGCCGCTAGGACATTCAGCAGTCCCCTTGATCTGCTTGTAGGCAGTTTTACCGGTATTCTTTTGTTTCTTGTGTGCTTCAGACGTGAACACTTCACATGCACCCGGATTGAACGCACTTTGATTCGTTACAAAATTATATCGTTCTATATAAACTAATTGGTTGTAAAACTTTAAACGTGATTTTCTCGAAACCACATTTTCGTAACTGGGCGCTCACATATCTCGGCCAATTTTTATCCGAATGACTTGAATTTTGGACAGAATGTTTACAACGAAATTGCCTTCAGTTGCACGTACGAACTTTTCAATCGGATTATTAGTTTTCGAAAACAATTAAAAAGATAACGATTTTTTGTCGCAAAATCGTGACCTTTTTTCTAAAACAGCGCCATTTTGTCTAAAATTATTTTATCAAAAATTCCGTACGTGCAACTGAAACTACACTCATATACTTTAAAATAAAATTTAAAAAAATTATTTTAGGGCTCCCATTCAGACGCAGCACGAGCGCCCGTGCATCCATGTTTTTTCAGACGAGGTGCACATTAATGAGTACTGAAGCTACAAATATTAATATTATTCAATGATTTTTTTTTAATAATTTCGTACTACATACATATAAATGTATGTACTTAGCATATATAAAAACAATAATTCATACAAGCTACCAGTTTTCAAAAAAAAAATTCACAAAAAGAGCCTTTTTTCGGCCATCACCGTGGTGTTCCCTCCCTTAAATAAACAAATAAATTAATTGGCCAATTACATATTTACTCGTTTTTAAATAAATTAATATAATTAGAGCCGGTTGTTCCATTTTCCGGTAAATTCTACCTGTTCGGTAAATCTGGCAATCCGCGCACGTGATTGGGTAATCTTGCTACTTACCTAACAGGTAAAATTTACCGGAAAGTGAAACAACCAGCCCTTAAAGAATTTATCCATCACCACACACACGCGCGCGCACGCACGCACAGTTGTGTATTAATTTATAAAATATTAAAAAAATATTTTTTAATAAAGTACAATTATTTACTACATAAATTAAATTCTATTTCCTGATTAAGGTATATTTTTTTCAAAGAAAGAATATTCTTATTTAATTTACATACATTGGTGCAATAATAAATTGGAATAAAACGGATATTATAGTTTTATATTTTGTATCAATTTACTGCATCAGTGTACATTATTTCAGAGTATTCTTCGAAAAAAAATCTTTGATATTCTTCATTTCTATTTGAAATATATTAGACAAATATCTTCGCAGTTTCAATGTATGTTATTATTCAAAAATCAGTTGAAAACTCAATATTTCTGCGAGTAAAATTTGATCTCATAACTAGACTCGACTAACGTTATGTGCCTAAAAACTCTCTTTAGAGACATATTTTATAATTCAAACCAAACAATGAAATATTTTGTAAAACAGGAATTTTTTATTATGTACATCTTGAGATATTATTTCTAGCAACAGCTGTCAATTCATAGAGGACATGAAGCACGATCGTAATTTCCTGCTTCCACTGGCTTAATAATTTCATATCACAAATGGGCATTGTACCGCCCGCGAATTAGCAAAATAAATCCAGATATGGGGTCTCTCTGAGAGAACGTCAACCACTAGTATTATGATTTTAGTTTGATAATAGTGAAGACGCGCGCGCGTAGCGTTGACATAGAAATGTACGTATTTATGTAGAGAGCAAGGTCTCCTTCGACCTCGCGCGTCAAGACGTGCTCAGTGATGATCGGTTTCCTGTGAGGGAACGCAAATACAGTAATCATATTTATTGTGGATATACGTTTTGTGAAATGTAGACATTATTTACTGGAGATTAAAGTCGGAATAAAATTTGCAATTTTTGTCTAATTTGCAAAGGTTATTGTCGCCGATTTTTATTCACGTTTAAAAAATAAGTCTCTGCAGAAATGTGGAAGAAATTAGTATCAATATCTTTAGCTAACATATTTCTTTATGTAAGATGATATAATGTTAACAATATTTTAAAACATTTATTTTTCATATATTCAAGAAATACCAAATATAAATTTGCATTTTTTTATCAACACTTTTAAAATATTGTAAATCTAATTGAATCGTCCTTTGACATAAATGTGTAAGCGTGTAATTTTTTAAGAAAAGAAATGAACTAATATAATAATATATAACCAGCTTATTATATATTTATTACTCAACACATGGATAATGTATCTATTCTAATGTTAGAATTCTTGGAAGAAAACGCGATTTAACTTGAAGAAGTATAATTGATTGTATTGTATACAATTTTCTTGTATGTCAGAATTATCATTTTGCTGCTATTATTTTCTTATTTGAAATCTCATACAGGTTTCTCAATCCTCAGTTCTATTGATATTTAAAATAATTATTGTACATAGGCTTGCATAGAATATTATATCACTTCTAGGTACAACAAATAATGACACTCATATCGTAAAAATATGAGTAAGATATTAGATACTTGCTCATAATTTATACATAAAGAGATGATAAATAAAAATGTGTATATATGGTATTTGATTATTGTTATTAATCCTGTCCTAATGATATGTTTCGCACAAATCAAACAAGATTTCTAGTACATTATTTAATGTAAAATCGACATTTGTTTATTTAAATTTTACAGAAAATTATTTATGTCTTTTTTTAATGTAACACAAGAATAAATTGTGTGTAATTAATAATAGTGGCAACCATTCAATATCGGTTGAAATAATTTTAAAATAATAAAATACTATAATTAATCTTATTCTTCTCATACAATTTAACTTTAGTAGCAGTAACTGTTAAAATCGCAAATTGTTAAACTTCATTTAAAACAAATATAAAACCTTTAAAAATAACCTTTATATAAAATTATTATTGGATTAACAATAATATACATGGGCGTCGACTATAGTGTGGTTGATGTGGAGTATTCCATATCGTGGACGTATAAAAATGAATTTTCAATGCAAAAATGAAAATAGGAGTTACAACCTCCAGTGGGCTTGATGTTGACAAATGTTATCCAAATCATGATTCTGAACAACATTCAAGAGGTTTTAGCTGTCCATTAGACACCTTGGGTAATATTAATGCCAGCAAATACTGCGACTTTTAAGCCTCATAAATCGAAAAGTATGTGATGAAAAAATATTTTAGTATAGTGTTTTGGAAAGCTCTTGAGATAAGCTATAAGAAAATAAAATGGAAAATAGAGAGTTCCATTTAAGAAATTAAAAGTATCATTTATGTGACCTTCATACAATTATTTAAGATCAAATTAATGATATCATCTTATGTACCCCTCGAAACCATACAACTTTTGTCTGAAACATTTTTTCGTATCTTCCATATTTTTCGAGATATTTGCCTGGGACAATTAAAATAAAACACACGGTGTATATAAGTATAACAAAGAAGTAATATATGTTATAAATAAATGTATAATGTATTTTAAAGAAGCATGTTGCAAATATAGGTATATATTCGGAAAAAGTAAGAAAGTAACAACTCCCATAACAAAAAGTTAATTCCTTACAGCGATTTATGTACACATTTTGCGAGGACATATTTTTTTTGGTTGTCACTTCGCCCACGGCAACTTCTACCTCCACACATGGTGAAACCTCAAGTCAACGCTCCTGATAATATAGTTTATTTAATCAATATTGGTTTTACTTTTCATTAAACAGATTATTCATTCATCTATTTGAAATATGACTCGTCGTTTGAAATGCGACTCGCGCGCAGATATGACCAATAATTTAATTTCAAATAGCATTTATTTTCCGATTATTCTATTTTATTATTTATGATTCTGTTTCCATGATTATTAGAGTTCCTTAGAGTTGATGCTCATTTATCACATTATCCTCATGTGTCATCAATGCAATAATGACGCATTTGTGCAAAATAAAATGAAAAAACGAATTATTATACATTTTGCACATTTTTACTTATTCAATTTATTCTGTGTATTATAGCAGATTAATGTAACGAATTCATTGTAAAGAAATGTTGTAAACTTTATAAACACTTTTTATAAAAATACATAATCTATATATGTGCATTGAAATAATTCCTAAAATAATTAAAATTTTTCTGTTCTATGTCTATTTGCAACGTCATAAAATAAAATGTGCTAATATAATAGAGACGTACTATATAAACTGAATAAAAACTTTATAAAATTAAGGCAATAATTTATTTTAAAACAAAGATCAAATTAAAAGAATTGACTAAACAGTTAATTTTTTTGGTAAATATACTAATTTTCTTATTTAATATATGTATATTAAAAGAAGAGAATGGATCCTATTATATTATACATATATCCACATATGTATATATATAATATATGTATATACATATAATTGTGTACAAAACTTATATTTTTTATAAAAATACATGTATATTTTTAATATGTTATCTATTGTCTAACTCTTCATGTATAAATCTGTAAATATATATATGACTGAAAAAACAATAATACATCCAAATAATTTAAACATACTATATCCTCTTTATATGCAATTATTATTATTTAAAATGCTTTGAATGTTTAATTATTAATTTAGTTTTTCTGAAGTCATTAATGGAATAAAAATGAAATAAATAAGCAATAAAAATAAGAAAAGTTCGCTATAAATTATTCACAGTTAACATCCGCTCTAAATTATATACTTGTATAATACTTATTACTAACAGCAATCTTATATATATAAAGTTTAAAATTAAAAAATTATTTTCTATGAATATCTTGACTATTATGTTTCGGATAACAAAGAAAATAATAAGATTTAATATTTTTGAAGAATATTCGTTTAAATTTTATGTGTGATACGAATTTATATAAAATACCCTGTATCGTATATGCAACGCAATTGTTTAATCTTTGTAGATGTAGATTTTTTGTCCCTTGGACCATTTACGCAAGATTTAAAAAAACCATTAATTATTACGCGTATATTTTTTTCTCTCGACGCATGGAAATACCAATTCAAAATAATAAATATTTACGTCATCCATGATTTCCATTGTACATTCTATAACAGGATCATTGTATACGAATTTTTTTCTCCCGTCAAGACCCGCATTCAAAGGTTCATCAATTACGCAATAATTACGATTAGGTTTTGCTCTTGACAATTATCAAACGATTGTTTAATCCGTAATCCAGGCATCATACGGCACTTGAGCAAACAGATTCTCTACGAAACTCGACATCACTTGCACTAGTTTCCTTCTAAGATCCGGCTTCATCTCCTTCAACAATTCTTGACTGTTGGTATTGATGAAAAGATTGAGTGCTGCCACTAAAATATAAGTAATATTATATAGTATATATAGTTCAATCTAAAAATATAAGTAATATTAGTATATGGTTCAAAATAAAAAAAATTATTATTAGATTAAAATGCATTTTTTAAATGAATCAATGAAAAAATATCCTATTTCAATTCTATGACACAGTTTATTAGACACCTATTTTTCATAACTCTTTTTTTAAACTTAATAATTTATATTGATTTATACTGACTGAATCTTTTGATTCAATTTTTAACTAACATTTATTTATTCTAAAGCATATTTAAATGTACCTATTTCATATATTTATATATCTATTATCTTGTTATAATATTATTGCACTGTTGAGATTCTATTTTTATTCCTTTTAATGTATGACACCCAAGAAACAATTTAAGAGTTATTATACAGAAATTAACTTACGTAATATGCTGTTAGTGTTGAGTACGTTTTCAACTCCCATTTTGATATCCTTTACGCTGAAGTCCATTTTTAGTTGCTGCAATCTGAGGTAACGACGGCCCTCATACAAAAATGGTTTTGCTCTGATAAAGACCTTGGCCCTGACGTCCTCATATTCGCCCCAATAATCGCCGGCACCACTAGCTTGTACTAAGATTAATGTTCCACTAGACCGGTATCTCGCGGCAGCTCTAATTCTTGGAATGCTAAAAGCCAGTTGCAATTGCACCTCATCGTCAGTCAGTCTCGTCCTCAAGCCGGTTATTCTCAGGGCAGAGACTCCTCTTGCAGTAATATTTTTAAATTGCGCTCTGTAACCATTTGGACCACCGCCAAGCGCGATATGCAACTCGTCCAGGATAATTGGTTCCACATCATGATAACCTAGTTGCGGTAGACCTGCAATGCAATTGCAATGCAGTTAGAACTTATAATGTACGCGGCTTCACTATAAACGACGCAAATTCTCTCAGTGTAATAAATCTTGTGTGGTTTCTTTGAAAATATATATATTTTTAGAATTTGCTTGACACTTAAATGTGTCGATTAAATTTAAAAAAAAAGCGTATGACACTTTTAAAACTGATTCTATTTGAATTTGAAAGTTAGAATATATTCAATCTTATTATTTATTAATTATTTTTGTAATCCGTTTGAAAAGTTTATTTCACTCAAAAATAAATTCAATAATTTTCCACCCGCTGCACGCACTTGAAGAAAGCTATATTGCTTTACGTATGTCAAAGTTATATCGTACAATACAAGTGGAATGTAGGACACTGGGTGACCATTCGAATACACCGTTATAACGTGTTGTGATCGTTAACAAAACCACGTGATTACAAAACCGGTTTATTCAGACTTTCAACTTTCAGTTTATTTACAAATTATATAGATTATTATTATTATACAATATTATATATTTATCTAATAAAATTCCCATGACAGGAAACAAAAATATATTACAATTATAACGTACTCTTCAAATTTGTACTATTTTTATATTTTGTATTAATTATAAAACAATAATGTAAGTTAACAATTTTATCATAATTTAATAATTTTATTTAATTATATATTTTATTTGCGTGTTTATATTACAAACGTTTTAATTTTGGCTACAAGTATATATATTTACTACAGCTAAAAGAATCGTTTATTATAATATATTATAAAATTCTCATTTTAATTGATAAAAAGTATTGATAAAAATGCCATTCTTGTATATTTTAAATTTAACTTGATTTACTAAAAAAAAATACATGAGTTTTTTCTTATTGTTAGTCAATTAAATTACTGAGGCTTTAGTAATATTCCTCGCAATAACTGGTATATGTGAGGGTGACAAACGTTTTCTTTCAGGCACGTAAATCAATTTGTTAATCAATTTAATTTGTGATAGTACTGCGATAGTTTATTAGAGTTGAGTTTCAAGACTGACAATTGTTCGGCGCGTAGTTTAGAAAGACTACATATATCAGTATATAAATTCACGCGAAATTATATATAAGCAACTAAGATCCAGGTAGACCGTTATAAGCTTCGTATTCATATTAGTCATGTTGTTACATTGACGATCTTCAAAGCTATTACAGTCATTTCTGTTCAAAGTAATTATTTCAAATAATACAAATAATATAAAAATAATAAAAAGTTATATGTTTAATATATTTGACTTTTTAACTATATTTTACCAAGTATTAAATGTCATAATAACAAATTTGTTAAAATTATTAACATTCCTGACAGTGCGAAGTGGAGAAGTCAAGAACGGAGAAATGCTCAAGCAATATACTTCGACGAACCGCAAATTCCTATCGTCTATTGCGACTTCACTTGACATGGCAAAAAATGGAACGTTAAACTGTACTTCAATTTTTTCAAAGTTCCTTGAGACACATCAGTCATTAATTATAATGAACACAAATATTACATTAAATCGAAATAAATCTAATTAAAAGATTTTGTATAACTTTTATATTAAAAAAATTTAATTTTTTTTGGTATAGATTAGAAAATATCATTTAACATATGAGATACATTACTATAAAAAAACTAAACGGTTTAGAAATTGGATGATCTATTTATATGATAATATGTTTCATAGATATATCAAAAATTACAAAAGAAATAGCAAGTTCAATGTCAATTAATATATGTGGATTATTTTAAATTTGCAACATCTCACCTTGACGGAAGTGTTCGACAAGTGTATTGGCTGTTCTGGCAAGGCAGATCTCTAGTTTTGGGTCGTCTCTGGAGCAAGGCTCTAAAAATTCTAGGCCCCTATATCTTCCAATGGCCTGGGCGCCAATCAGCAGCGAGCATGCGTAGCACAGTAGTATAGTATTCCTCATATCTAGCAAGCTATTTTATTTCTTCTTTCCTTTCTTCGTTATGATCAACCGGTACCTACCGAGACACTCTACGGAACGATCAGGTTTCTCGACGAGAAATGATCGACTGGCAGGGATGCGCCAGGCCTTATAGACCTTGACATTGCCCCCGCTATACCCAAAGACGAAGAAGAAAAAGAGGATCGGACCTTAAGCGGGATATCGAGTCAGTGCGTACTCTTTGATGTTTTTTTTAACTTGTACAATGTACAGGTGCAAAATAAATGGCATAATAATAAGAATGCGAGTATGTTATATACAGGGTGGCGTAGAGCTACAACTTTTAAATCTTTAAAATAAGAGCAAGGAAATGTCTTTTTATAATTTCATATATCTCTTATTATTCTATTAACCACATTTGGATTTTTAATTAAATCATGATTTATATTTTTATTTGAATAAATTTTAATTAAATTGGTTTTTAATAGCGTGGGTCAACAAAGTCAAGCTATTGTTATTACAGACTTCGCCAATCAACTTTCCTAGATGAAAGAAGTAAAAAAGCGATGAAATTCATGCGAAGCATCATGAATTTCATGGATGGTTCTTATAACTTTTACCAACGTTAATTTTAAATTAACCGCAATAAACTACGCACTGTAAAAGTCTTCTAATATATAAGTGGCCCTGAAACCGATAAAGAAGACCAAGAAACCATTGATTAATTTATGCGCTTACTTTCCCAATAATTGCCGACGTTTGTTTATAATTTTTTTTCTTTTATCTGGTAATTTTAAAGTGGTACACGCTTAATGATTGGAAAGAGCGTAGAAAAAGCGATTTTCTCCGCTTCTAATAATTAGCAAATCGGTTAATTAGAAATAAAGTACAAGAAATATTACGTGCATTATAAAATATTTGTAATATATATTGAATACAATTTATTGATAAAACTAATTAGTCTATTAAATTGCGCAATTTAAGTACGTAAACGCATCCTGAATTTGAAAGTATATTTAAATGGTAACAATTAAACATGAGACATGACATCGCTCCTAAAAATGAGTGATGAGTACGAGAAAAAGAAAGCATCGATAGACGTCAGAGTGGACGTCATGGAACAGTCAAAAGGAGAGTAGGAGAATGTTAAGCCCCGTTAATCGCCTTGGTCACGTTCGTTTTAAGTCACGTTTCCGACTTGCTCACGTAAATGTTCGCGGAAGATCGTCGCCGGTATAGCTAATCGCACTTCCTGCCTTTAAACGTGAGGAAAAAATGAAATTGGAGGGCTGAGATGTAGATTAACTTCAGAAGAGCGAATCTTACTGTAAGTAACAACTTACACATTTTTATTTTATATTTTTACGAAGTTTTAAAGATTCCTAGAATCTAATTTATCTGAAATTATACTTATTTGTTTAAATAGTGAGGTGTAAAGTTCCGAAAAATCATAAACCCGAAAATTAAAAACTACGCGAATGTTCCGAAAAGTCACAATTCTAAAATTTAAGAAGTGTGTAAAATCCTGAAAAGTTACAGTTTTTCGAAGTATAATTCGTGACGCTACTGCTAGCTTTATCTGGATTTTTGACATCTATAAATTTTAGATTAATATTACTCAGAAATTAAAGGCCCAATTAAAAATCTAAAAACACTTTTATCATATAATCATCGGTATCTTTCGATTGCAACCAATAACATTGGTACAGCCAATACCGAGATCTAGAGACCGAGTCCTGCAAAGGGACCATTTCAAAATTTTTTCAATCGTACGTGTGACACATACATGTAAATCGTTTTGTCCATTAAACTGCTGTTCACAATGTCTACATTCAAAAAATAAATTATAAATTAAATTAAGTAAAAAATAAAATAAACTAATAAAATTAATTAAACTGAAAAATAATTAATTTGATACTGAGAAGGGATACTATTTCTAAAATCTGACAATACATTTTAATTCACATAACTTCTTTTTGTTTTTTAGATAAGAATGAACCAGTACTTTCTAAGATTAAAATTATTTCAAGGTTTCTTTCAGAGACGTACAGATCTTTTAGATTTATTTTAAGATTTTTTTGTGCATATGATGAATAGAGAAGGAAGGTCATGCATACCTTAGTTAAGATTCCACACTCTCTGCAGTCAGATCGTTTATTTATTCATGCACAATGTGTACACTCGTATTCTGCATTTTTCTTTTAAAATACAAATTTAACTTTAAATATCTTAAGGAAAACATTTAGTAAAAATATTAAAATAATTAGAATTGAATAATACGGAAAAGATATGATACACAAATTTGTCCTTCTAGCTGATCGAAATTAATTATATTATTTGACAACGATCTAATTGACATTCTTCGGTTCAATGCTTCGTGACGTTTCTATGTGTTCTGTAAGAATATAAGTTCAAAGACCGCAGTTTCGTCAAGGCAACCTACTATTGAGACATAAAAAACCATTCTGTTCTACATGCTATTATAAAACATTTAGCATTTTTTATAATAATTGACAGATGTATGCTTATTTTCATCAATGGTACATAAATTAATCTTAATTCCAATTTTTTAAATCTTTATCTTATTTTAGTTTTAAGAGTTAAAAAGAATAAATTAAACTAAGATTAAAATGAATTTATATTGATAAAAACGGTCAATAATCGTACATACATGACAGCATGTGGACAATGTATTAAATACAAAAGTATAAAATATTTATAATTTATTACATTTTTCTGAAAAAGGCGGTAATGAAAAGTAAAGAACTAATAAAATATTAAAATTGTTATAAAAATAAATATTTTCAATAAAAAATAAATATTTTTTTCAATAAAATTACTTTTTAATTTATTTTTATTAGACGTAGAATGTTCATATCAATTTGTGAAGGTACTTTGTATTGTGACTATGTAGCTAAAGCTGTATATTATTAATTCAAATTGAATAGCTACATAAATTACTCAGTGATAATACAACATGTAATAATACAGAGGTATATGTATATAACGTAAAAAAAGAATATGTTTATTTAACGTAGTATGCCACGCATATATATCTTATGTTCTAATGTACGCAACTTATATACACAATATAATAATAATTATTATATTATGTAGAGTAAAAGTAACAAAAGTTGCAAAATTTACTTTATAAATTTCGCCCTTTTGTAATGATTTAACGGATAAATTGTTTACAAACTGATAGATACACTTCTTATATTTACATATTTGCTAATTAACAAATTCACTTTATCAATTCAAGCGTAATGTACATATCTCAAAGTTATAATCAATTAAAGTATAAACGACTTTGATTTGAAAATTTGCTCAAAGGGAAAGTCACGGAAGGAATTATCGAAAATCTCTGTGAAAGCAGTCGAAACGAGTTCGTTGATTAGGCCCCTCGTTAAAACAAAACCTGGCTGCCACGTATGATTAATTATTTTATCGAGAATACCCTCAAAGAATCGTTTGCCAAATAGAAGATTTGTAATGTGAAGCTTTAAATCTTTGATGGATTGGACGTCCATTTGGGCCCGCAATTTTAGTCCCGGCAATTTGGTCACGGTGGTCATTTGTATAAGATCATCTGCAACGAAAAAAATTTTTAAATACAAATAAGCGGTTTTAATATTTTTGTTTTTTTTACTTCAGTTATTTTTTATTATAATATTAATAAAAAAAGTTGTATTTTCATATATTAGTGATCACTATAATAGAATTCATAATCAAATGCAAATTTGAACTTACATAAAGTGAGTGTGAATCTTCCTCTATTATGTATAGTGGAACTGAAGAAAGCTCCTTTAAATTCATAATTACCCGTCAACATTTTTTCTGGGAAACTTTGCGTGTAGACAATCTAATTAATAAAATGCTTTGTTTAGTTATAAATATTTTATCACTCATTATTCTGATTATAAGTCTACTTTTCTCATTAAATAATAAAAATAAAATATACATAAAATAATTGTAATCATGCCATCAATTTTAATATATTTTTATCTTAAATATGAAATATATGTTATAAAATAATTTCGCTAATAATATTAAAATAAGGCGTGTCAAAGTAAAACATTGTAAATACTATTTTTTTTTAACTTTTCAGGAGAAAGAAAAAGCTTATTTTCTTAAAAATCATTATTTCTTTTCCAAACTTCTTTCACCAAAATTTCTATAAAAACATAACTGTATTAGAGAACTGTAGAAGAGTTCAAGAGTCCTCCAATTCTTCAATTATTTGTATTAGAGAAATTATATAAATAAAATCAGTCTCTTTCTGCAAAATATTTTAATTAAATATAATTCTTGAAAAAATCGTGTAAAAGTTGTTAAAATTTTAACGTTATAGAAAAATAGTCCAAGTAAAATATACAAATTAAGATATTCTAAAGGTAAAGGAAAAATGTTGTAAATTTAATTAAAATTACAAGTTAAAATGTTATAAATCCAAATGAACAAAATTTTGAATTGTACTACCAATTTTGCTCTGCTTGTAGTAATACTTTCCATGCCAAATACACTGTGTGACCACAAAAATTTTCCAAAGGGCGCGTGGGTTTGGTTATGTCGGGGGCACGGTCCACTACCATTTCCCCAAGGGATTTGGCAAAGTTAGATCGTACAAAAATGGGGAATCAATTTACAGTTATAAATTTTGAGGAATACAGGTAGCGCGATTTGAGGTCAAATATATATGATAACAAATATACGCACATGTTAATATTTTTTTCATCACGTGTGCACGTAATGTGCTCTATACCTTAACGCTTTTGCATGCGGTAAATAGCCAATACCTCAAGCCGTTGAGTTATTTCTCTAATCCCACTCTTCTGCGCAAAAACGTTGCTGTATAGGGCACATTACGACGAGGACTTGTAATGAAAAATTCTACGTGTAGCGAGTGGAGGCATATTTGTTTATAGGTCGGCACGGGCGCTCGTGCGCTCGTGCCCGGCCGCGCAATAAACAAATATCCTCCACTGTTACACTATGTACTATTAAATTTATTCAGCAATTGACCAGCAAAAATCAGAAATTTTCCTTTGTATCGACATTCCATCTGCATGATTTGTTGATGAAATTTTTCACATTGTTCGTCTGACTCTGTAGCAAGCTGCTTTTCAAAGAATTGAAGGTGGTGATGTAAAAAATGGATTTTCAATGACATATGAATGCCGATATTCTTAAAAGCTTATCATATCATCTACTAATATACGGTAGTTTTCAACTTGATGTTTCCCGAGAAAATTTAAAATCACAATTAACATTCTTATACGTTTATCTAACGCGTTATAAAGTGATACTGGTGCATGCGAAAGTTTTGATGCCTGATATGAAATGAACACATATATTTACTATCTAGGATCTGTGAAGCTGGCACGACATTCTGTCGATATCAAAAAAATTACAACAGTTCCAGTAGCACTTTTCATAGTTCTACAGTTCTACCTAGAAATGAAAAATAGTTCCGCAGTTTTAATATGAAAAAACTAAAATTGAAAATATGGCGTGCTAACTACGCGAATCCGGCACGTCAGATTTCCTCTAAAGTACGAGAAAAAAATTAATATTTGCACTTTTAGCAACAGTTCCCGATAGTTCTACTAAAAATCAACTAAGATATGCATTTTCAAAATAAAATAACAACATTTAACAATTTTTATACATCCTATATATAGAAAATGGCATAAAACTTCTAGAAAAAGTGACGTGCTGACTATTTCTATCAGTTTCAACGGCAGTTCTCATTAGTTCTCACAGAGTTCTATGCAATGCAATCATTTATAAACAGAGTTCCGGCCTCTACATATTTTTAATCAATTTTTTAATACCTGAGTCCAGCAGGACACTTGTAGAAAAAGTGACGTGCTGACTATTTCTATCAGTTTCAATGGCAGTTCTCGTTAGTTCTCACAGAGTTCTATGCAATGCAATTATTTATAAGCAGAGTTCCGGCCTCTACATATTTTTAATCAATTTTTTAGTACCTGAGTCCAGCACGACACTTGTAGAAAAAGTAACGTGCTGACTATTTCTATCAGTTTCAACGGCAGTTCTCGTTAGTTCTCACAGAGTTCTATGCAATGCAATCATTTATAAGCAGAGTTTCGGCTTCTACATATTTTTAATCAATTTTTTAATACCTGAGTCCAGCAAGAAATAGTCAGCACGTCACTTTTTCTAGAAGTTTTATGCCATTTTCTATATATAGGATGTATAAAAATTGTTAAATGTTGTTATTTTATTTTGAAAATGCATATCTTAGTTGATTTTTAGTAGAACTATCGGGAACTGTTGCTAAAAGTGCAAATATTAATTTTTTTCTCGTACTTTAGAGGAAATCTGACGTGCCAGATTTGCGTAGTTAGCACGCCATATTTCCAATTTTAGTTTTTTCATATTAAAACTGCGGAACTATTTTTTATTTCTAGGTAGAACTGTAGAACTATGAAAAGTGCTAATGGAACTGTTGTAATTTTTTTGATATCAACAGAATGTCGTGCCAGCTTCACAGATCCTACTATCTAATGTATTTACAAAACAAAGTTCGCGCTCGCGCGCATAAGTGTGAGTGTGAGTATGTGTATGTATGTGCGTGTACGTATTTGTGATAATATTTGATCTCAAAACCATGAGAATAGCACAACTGGTACTCCTCGAAATTAATAACTTCAAATTTATGCTCCATTCTTCTACGATCTAACTTTACCAAATCTCTTGGGAAAATGATAGTGGGCCGTGTTCCCGACACAATCAAACCTACGCGCCCTTTGGAAAATTTTAAAAGTTGAAATCGGTCACACAGTGATATTAATATGTGATAAAATATAACATTTACAATCCATTCACGTAATAAAATGCATTTTCATAGTTTTGGCTCTTACAACGTTTTGTTGTAGCACGTCTTAGATAAAATAAGCAAATTCTCCGATGGCATAAAATTGTATGTTATGTCAATTGAGAACCTGACGTAAATTTTTAAGTATATCGACGGACAGTACATGTACCTTGTAATTATTCAAGTCGGAAACAAATTTTGTTACTTTACTCAGTGACCACCCGGTTTCGGTGACATTTCGAAGAGTTAAAGTAAAACCAAAATTCGGTACCCCTCTCGTGGCCGTTACCTCCCTGGCAAAAAAGGGATCAAATGGGAGAATGTTGTATTTTGGTAAACCGGTTTTGAAATAAGGTCGAATTGCATTCAATCCCTCTCGCATGCAGACATCAAAACCTGATACGTTGGGGTGACAGTTCTTAAAATTGTCCTCTAAAAACATATAATTCACAATCCATCTTAAATACATATTAAAAAGATTGCTGAAAACAATTTCGTAAGAGTTGATATGCACAATAAGATGAGTTTGTAAGTACATAAACGTCCGCATTGATGAAGACTCACTTCAAAACGTTTGCGGTATATTTCGTTGCAGTTTACTTTATTGAGTAAGTTTATTTTAATTGTTTACGAATATTATATCTTATTGTTTTATGAATATACAGGGTGTTTGAAAAGTAATGAAAAGTTTTGTCGCATAGGGATAAAATGGACTAAACTGAGAAGAAAAGTCCTCTACCATTTTACAATTTTCGCAATAGTTAACGAGATATTAATTTATAAAAATATCCAAGTTCGCCCGGCCCACCGCCAAATGCAAGCGCGCGGCTATATATGACCGGCCAGCGAGGCGCGCCGCGCGCGTTTACCGACAAAGTCTATAGGTATAAAAGTTTATAAGTATAAGGATAAATCCACACAACAATCGTATGTATTATTATCTAACTGCATAAAAACAATTAACAACTAAAACTGCATAGTAGAATTAAGCAAACTACGTAGAATGTAACCTATCTTTTGGATAGACTTTATTTGCGATAATAATACTTATTATTTTGATTATTTGTAATATTAACAAATAATGAGAAATAATTTGTAATAGCATGTACTAATCGATCATTTTTTCTTATCAAATTATTTGTTGCCCCTTGATTTGTTTACCTATATATACCTATAACAAAGCCACTTTTCTCAATGTGCAAAATCCAATATGCTATTAATGAAATATGTACTGAAACACAGCTGTGAAAAAGTGACGTATAATTCATGAAATTATATTTTATTGGAGTTATGTAATTTTATAGGAAAGATACAATCTCATAATTTTACTGATTTAACTGTTACAGAATACATTCCCGCAGATATAACAAAAGCATATATAATTTACATCTTCTTTCATTATGACTTCATGATGTAAATATATTTTGTATTTGTTATGTCTTATTCATAAAATGGTGCGTGGATGTATAACTTAATTATATTTAATTTATATAATTATGTTTTATACTGAATACATATAACACACACAAAGACATGTAACAAAATTATCATATTCAAAATTATCAATTTAAAATTATCATATTTATATTATCAGAATATTTCGTTTACGCCATAAAACTGTCTTGTTATAAAACCAAGACATTTATCATATACAATGACAAAAAGTTATATAACAATGCCAAAATATGTTTGCTGAGTTTATACATTCAGAATAATTATCAATAATTTTTAAATATCTGAATATATTCACAGAGAGAGAGAGAGAGAGAGAGACATAGAGAATCCATATTTTTATTCGATATTCGTTTCGGAAATTCATATTGACATTTTTATTTGCATTAGATTGATACACTAAAGCTAAAATTTTTTTTCAAATATTTTACTCTCTCTCTCTCTCTCTCTCTAAATAAAGCAAAGTAGGATGTTATATACAATTTAAAATTCAAATTAATACTTATTATTTTTTGTCATTATTAAATTAACGATTAATTTAATTTTGTGATATTATACTTTTTTTAGCTTGACTTATGATTGCGTTTCAAGTCTGACAGTATCAGTTCTGTTTATGTAACTGAAAGATGATTAAAAATTTATTATATTTAATGATAAGAAATACTAATAGGGAAGGGAGCATCTAAAAAAATCTAGTCTCAATCGCATCCTATGCTTTTTTACTTATTCGTATTATTCATATAACGGTTTAACTTATTACAATTCAAATTATTTGTAATATTAATGTGTAATATTACAAACAGTTAAATTAAATTAGCGAATATGTGTGATACTTAGACATTGTTGTAAGAAAGTAAGACTACGTTTTAACATTGAATGTTAATATATTCGTATTAACATTGAATGCACATACGTAATCGCACATAATGTGACTTTCACTTCCAGGTATTCCGGTTTTGATAGCACCATAAGTTCCTTGAGAATATCTCACTTGTGCATTTCGCATTCTATTACAAAATAGGATATTACGTTATGTAATATATCAACAAATCAACGATATGTCGATTTTTTAGTTGAAAGACGCACTTTGGCATACTTTTCCACAATTTTGCATATTTTACATGTTACTTTAAGTATTTATTAAGTTATATATATTTTGTCTTTGTTTAATACTAAAATACAATAATGTAGATTTTTTTTGTTATAATAATTTATAAGAGAAAGAAGAAATTTCTGTTCTTTTCTCGCCTTCTTTGAAAATTTAAAAGTATTGAAAAACTTTTATAATTTATATACAAATTCACTTATAAAATTGCTACTCAATAAAATGATATCATCTATAACCAAGCATTAATAATCGATATAACAATAACAATTAAAAATCTTATTATATTTAATTTTTCGATTAATGTTGAAAATCCACGCAGTAAGTTCAAACAAGCAGTAAATTTAAAAATAAATTGCACTGTTGTTTTAGCATATTGATAATTTATGTAAAATTAATTTTATATAAAATATTAATATGCTATAGTTTTAATTGACAAGTTTGTCGCAAGCAAGCAAAATTTTAAATTTATAAGAACGCAGTCGGTTGGCTTTTATGCAGATGAAAGTTTTACATAAATATTTTTTAATTATAAATATGCTAAAATAACCGACCAATTTTTTTATATAAATGCTTGTTTAAATTATGACTTGATTGCATGGACTTTCAACATTATCTAACCAAAGAATTAATCGTAAAAATATTTTTATAACAGAACTTTGGAATAAATGTTGATGAAATATTATCTTTGATGCCATCTTTGATGATTTTTTTTATAATAAACGCATAGATATATACCATATGTAACTGATTAGTGTGATCTTTTTGTATATAATTTATTAATTCATGAGTGAGAATAAGGTCATAATTATTTGCGAGCACTGAGAAAAAGACTGTGAAAGTCGAAACGTTTGCGATAATGTATATATAGATATATGTAAAGTGTAATTATTATTAGTAATATTAAATCTTATAGAACAGTGAAAACTAAAACTAATGAGAAACAAACTTTAACGATCAACCTGGATTTTGAGTGCTTCTATAATCACATGTATTTATATAGGTACTACGTATGTATATATAGATTTTTTATCAGGCACCAAATTATTTTTAGACTTGAAACGTAAGCTTTATTAAACTACCGCAGTAATATCATGAGTTAAATTGATTAACAATTTAATATTTTTTTATAATCTTTACTCATCTTAGAGCAATTTTAATCATGTTAAATGACATATTAATATCTATAGTAATTAATTAACTCTTATTGTGAAAAATATTACTTCGGCCAGGAGTTGAACCCGGATCTCCAGCATTCCGTGCAAATGTCCTAAGCCTTTAGACTACCAAAACTAAATTCACACACGATTATAGAAGCACCCAAGATCCAACTTAACCGTTAAGACTTGTTTCTTGTTTTAATTATTATTAGATTAGCGCGAATTTTTATAACGAATAAATAATTTATACAATACCATATCTCTAAAATTTATAATTGAAATATAATATATGATAATATTAGCATAACGTATAATTAAAGATTAATTTATTATAAGAATACCACAACAATAAAATTTGATGATTTCAATTTTTACTTTACATATTTTTTAATGAGTGTTAATTTATATAATTTTAATGATGAAATTAATCCTTAATACTCTTCAATAAAAATAACATTTTATATCAATCTTTCCGCTCACCTTAATATTCCTTTCAAAAATGCTCAATTATGTAACCTTTAAAGTACATTTATAGCTCACACACAATAACTTTCATTCTATCTTTCTTCTTCATATAATAAAAAGTAAACGATAAAAACAGCATAAAGTTTACAGCGCATAGGAGTCCAACGTGAATGTGTTCTTAACCTAATATGCGATGTGGTTATGAGAGATTTGACAGTCAAGAGAAATTTAAGAAGAAATTTAAAATGCTTGTTTAGTTATATAATATTAACTAAAAGTATTAGTCAAAAAATTAAACAATTTTATTGTAAATACGTCTTGAGACCAATTATAAAAGCAAAAAACAAATTATTTAGCTCTTAACAGTTTATGTAGCGCAATTGAGAAAGCTGTGGATACTGTGCAAGCAGGTTATCATATTTTGCTGCGGTTTTAAGTTCGTAATTTATAAACGAATAAATAGATTTAAATTTTTGCGCAAACATTAATTAGAGTTTAATTTTACTAGTATATATGTGAATATACAAATTATCTTAAGATTATTTAAGAGTAATATCATTGCAATGTAAAATCATGCAATGTAAAAAAATTATAAATATAAATAAAAATGTAAGCCATTTTTTCCTATAAAGTTTTTCAAGTGTAAACGTTTAAAATTAATTAATCATATAAGTATTGAAAAATCATCTGTCCGTGGACATACGTAGCAACAGTATTTTGATAATATCTAACTATTGTATACATGTCACATGAACAGATGACTTTTTAACCAACGCTTTGATTAATCAAACTTTAAACGTTTATACCTAAAAACAGTTTTACGGAAAAACATAGCTTAAACTTATATTACTTAATTTTTCACTTAGCATAATGATATTACTCTCGAATTTCGGGACTTTTATATGTATATAAAATTCGATTTAATTTGTAATGCTACTTCTTTATGTTTAATTTGCAAATGAATGTTATTAAAAAAAGTACTATTTAATTTTAACTTTTATTTTTATGTAAAATTGAGATAAACAAAAAAATTAAACTTTGAAGCCAATAGGAAAATTATGCTACTGGAATGCAAATATTATTTAGAAGTAATAATAAAACAATTTATAAAATTTTATATTTTTTATAACCTAGTAAATATCAACTAAAACTATAATAACATAACATCAATATATTATAATTTTACGCTCAATCATGTAGATGTAACATAACACACGTATTACATAATAATTATATTGAGTGTAAAATTATACATTGATATATGTTATGTTACTTTTGATGTTTACAGTTAACACTTTAAATAACATACGTCCTTATTAAGGAGTATTACAATTTTATGATAATTAATTTTTGTTTGAAGTATTATATCAAACATTTGGCTAATTTGTTTAACTTATGTTATAGATCTGAGTTTGGTATAAATTTAGGGTTTTTCTTATAATACCAAGCATTTAAATTACCGGTTTGGAAGTTCATTACACGTGCGATTATTGAAATCTAACTGGGAGTACTTACCGAAATCTGCAGCAATTGAAGCGCGCAATAGTAGCACAAGCAAGAAAGTTTTTAGCTGCATCTCTTTGTTATTGCTTTCTTCTTTACTCTTTTTTTTGTTCGATAAATCTGAAGCACAGAAAAGAAAATATTTCAATTCTTTTCGATACTCACGATAGGCACGGCGATTTACTTGCAGTATTACGCGGACGAGGAGCGCGTACCACGCACTTTCACTGTTTGCGATACATCTGAGAGAACGGTTAGCGAACTGCTTCCGAGTAACGAAAATTTGGTGGAGATTATATAATTTTATTGGCGAAAACTTGAAGAGAAGGGTGATGTATTCGAGTGGGAGCAAGAAATGTCGTTAGAAGTCTCTTTCTTTCCTTTTGCTTTAGCATTTGGACCAGTTCTTCGTTTAACGTATAAGAGAAAAAACACGTGTTGTCCGGTAAATTACCTAACACATTACATCGTGCGGTTAAAGGCGAAATCATTCGCAGTCAGTTATGGAATATTAACTACAGTATAGTACTTCAATACGCAGTACTTCAAACGCATGTTATGCGAAATATTTTTTTTAAATGCAGTTTTTCACAATACAAATGAATTTTATATTTTGTATTTTAGCGGAGCACGTGAAAGTATTATATATTTTGTATTTAAAATGAAAAGATTAAAAGTTTTTTGCGATTTATAATTCAAATAAGATTGATTGTCAATCTCGTATTTAAAATACAAAATACGAATACTAATTTTCTACTCTAACAAATACTAATTTTCTATTAAAAGTATTTCAAATATATATATGTTCAGCCCTGGATATACGTAAATTACTTTCAAAATGCATTACTATGTTAATTAAAATTCATATTTTCTAAATACTGTCTACTTTTTAAATTTTCGTATATCTTTAAGATCTAGAAAGTATATAAAAATTAAATATAAAAATATTTATTTGCAACAGATAATTGTTTCCACTTTTTAAAAATATATTATTTATATTTTAAATATCTGTTCGTTAAAAGTAATGTGATACAAATTTGTTATGATATTCAAATACACGGTCTATTAATTTTCTAGATTATATCGCAATTGCGTCCTTTCATATTCGGAATTAAAATAACACACTTTATTAGTTTTACATTATTTATTTAATCATATAATTGATTTGTTAAATTACGTACTTTAAATTGTTAGTACAAAAATATATATAGTATATCAAATTGTTATTTTGAAAATTTTGGAGTATATGATAATTTTTTTATACTTATATATAATTGCAAAGCACATAAAAAAATATATATTATTCTATATAAATTAATTAAACTTTACGTAATAGTTATAGCTTTAATAAATTCCAGTGCACACACACATTTTATGTATTGTAATTAATTTTATGTGTAATTTCCCGTTATAACAGTTTAACTGTCCAAATTAAAAAAACCTACATATATGAATACATAATGATTTTAAATAATTTGCATTTTAAATTCTCTGAATACTTAAAACTTTAGCTATTTGCTTACTTACTTAACCTTCCGATGTAAATTAGTCCGAAGATATTGAAGATATTACATCTTAGCAAGGGGAGAGACATTTGAGTATCGTACTATGATGCTATCTTTAAGTTGTCCAACTTTATATACAACACAAAGGAATGAGTCCTCGAAAAATACAAAGCATGAAGACGAAAAATACTAGTTTCAAAGAATCGTTTCATTGTTTATTAATTACAGATTTCTCTTAGAAAAACGAAGCATTATACGAATCAATTATGCAAACGAGCAGATAGCATAAAGAGTTTTTTAAAAAATCTTTCTAAACTCTGCAATAAAAGGGGAATGAGCGTACTTTTTTGAGAAACAGTTATTGACGAGTTTCTAATAAGTTCGTGGACAGCAGGGAACGTCAGTAAAAATGTATTAAAATAAGTATTCGGAATGGAAGATATAAAATCTCACAATCAGGTATAAATTATGGCCTGTATTCAAAATGAGTTTTTATCAATAAAAGCACACTTTTATATAGCTCTGAAATTCTGAATGTATAATGTAAACTATATGTAGCATATTAATGCACTAATATCGTTATAAGCATATTCTGAATATGAACGAGCTATGAATGAGCCCATATATAGTATTTGAAAAAAATTCTATAGTAGTTTATCTTATGTTTAAAATAGTCATTAATAAATTTAACTTTTAGTATTTATATATTTTTACACGCTCAAACAAATATATTATATATAGAAATGAAGTCTAATAATCATTAAGTCTTAAGGTACAATTTCATGCTGACGCTTGACGCTTATTTTTAGCGTCAAAACAGATCACGTGATCAAAATTGATGATTAATATTCGTCAATTTGTATCACGTGATCTGTTTTGACGCTAAAAATAAGCGTCAAGCGTCATGAAATTGTACCTTTATACTTATAAGCTTCCTTTAACCTTCCGCCGGCGGATGTAGGAAAATCTTGAAAGAATTAAAGACCCCCTCCCCCCGAGAGTTAGAAATGTTTACTATTTTTCCAACTATGAAGAAAACTAATAAATAAATATTTGTTTCCATATATAACTGTATGAAACATTTTTTACTATTTACCATTACAATAAGCAGTTAGCCAAAAATTATTTTTCTCAGGAAAGTATCAGACATTGTTTAGTTTGACATTGGATACATAAACATTACATAAAATTTTGGATTTCCCTAAACAGTCAATGAACTATATGGTACCTCGTGATCTATGGAGCCCCGGTCTCCCCTATATATATATTATACGTATACAGAGTATCCCATGCTCGGATCCATATTCTTTTGCTGACAGGTTTTATGGTACAGCATTTTTAATTGGCAGCCAATCTTTTCTATTAGTGTACTCTTCTCATTGTAATAATAGGTTAAACGAAAATTTTACTGGTTTGGTTCATTTATTTTAAACATAGTAAATTATATTCAATAAATTAAGATTTTGTTAGGTGCAACGTAAATACCTAGTGGAAAAACCCTAAGTTAAATATTTCTTGTCGAGAAACAAATTTTATTGTTTGAGTCATAATTGTGATTACTTCACATGATCCTCCGATCAAAATTTTCATAAAATTTTACGTCAAAAGATATTGACCTCTAAAATATATTCAACTTTTCCTTTGTCCTAAGCAATTACTATTTATTGTTAGTACGCTATTATTGTTGTTGTTATTTATTTATTAATTTTATCAAAGATTAATTCCTTTTTTACGGTTTATATGAATGGAGAACTTCACTTATTCAGAATTAACTGAAAAAATTTATTCACAATTTTACATTTATTATTTTCTCGTTGATCATGTCGTTTAGTTTACAACTTTTCAATCAATTTTTTACAAATTTTTGCAAACAAGAATACGTGCAATACGCAAATAGTATACAACATTTATAAATAATTTAAAAGATATTCGTAAGTATTTATATTTACTTTTGTGGCTTAGAGTCTGCACAGATCATTATATAAATACTGGGCGGTATTTTGGAAACACCCTGTATATATATTACATGAATATATATATTGTATATATTATATATTATATTAAATATATGTATATTAATGAAATGTATATTGTATATACACTCACAATTAAAAAGAAAAAGCAAAAAAGTTGGAAAAATTTACGAATCTTCAAATGCTCGTAACTCAGTAAATAACTATGATACAGAAGTATTTAAAAAACAAAAAAATAAAGTTTGAAATTTGAAGTTTGTACTTTGAGAAACATCTAATACCGATTGAGTGGCATTAATAATTTTCTAATGGCCGATGATAGAGTGAAGACAAAATTGACAAATAGAACCTTCCATTTCAAAGTTACACACAGTAAAGCAGTAGACGCAGCTAAATAGGATAAAAAGTACATGAAACAAAATCTCCCTATCAAAATGCGCTTTTACGGAATTTGATACGACAATTTTTTGCCACGTTATGACATTTTAAAAAAAAAGTCTTTAATACGAAATAATAATAAATTATAATGCTCCCATTATCAGTTCAAACCATCATCGCAATTCTAAGATGTTAATTGTCGAAATCCCATCCGTGTGAATGTGTGTGTGTGTGTCACATACACGGCAGAGAGGGTTTGAAGTCAATAAATGCAAAAGTGACGAACCGTGAGGTACTTATCTCTGTTCTGTTTAAAAAACTGTTCTTTTACCTAATTGTCATAACTTGACGAAAAAAAATCGTATCGAGTTCCGTAAAAGCATATTTTGAAAGGGAAATTTTGAAATTTATGTTCTTTTTATCCCATTAAGCTGCGTCTACTGCTTTACTACGTGCAACTTCGGAATAGAAGATTCTATTTGTCACTTTTGCAGATCCTCAATTTATCGACCATGGAAAAATTATTGATCACTCAATCGGCATATGAAGTTTCTCAAAAGTACAAACTTCAAGCTTCATTTTTGTTTTTTAAACACCTTTGTATCATAGTAGTTTACCGAGTTACGAGCATTCGAAGTTTCGTAAATTTTTCCAACTTTTCTATTGTACCGGTTTTTCTTTGACTGATTGTATATTATAAATATTACAGTAAATATAAATGTTACAGTAAACGTTACAGAAATACTTCATGAAACATTATGATCTCGGTCAAAAATGCTTGTTTGAAATATTTATTTATATTTATCATAAATATTACATAAAACATTTATTAATCATTTAAAAAATGAATAGTAATAAATATATGTTAAAAATATTATATACTGTCCGCATAATGGTAATTTTGAAACTATCCAGGAGGAATGCTATTGGTTTGTAATCAGTATTCATATTTATCATTGTTCCTATTTCTCATTCCTGTTTTGTTAAAGCATGCAAAGCTTGTTCTCAAAGACGACTCTAATTTAAAAAATGTTTAGAAATTTTCACTCTTAGTCAGACAATATATTTCACGTTTCTATGATTAATATTTCAAGATATTGTTATTCGTAATAAATTTAACTATGAAAATACAAGGATTTATGTGTATATGTGAGTGCGTATACATATGTATATGTATATTTCTCAGAGATCAAACTTTACTTTGATCATCCAATTCTTCTTTGCAGTCTGGTTCACTTCCGTCATATTTTTCAAATAGAAGTTAAATAATCCACATCAATTTTCAAAGAACTCGTTCCGTCTAGTTAAGAACTTAATTCGACTTTCATTATCCAAGTTTTGAAAATCTTCAGTCTGGATCACTTCCGTCACATTTTTCAAATAGAAGTTATAACAATAATTCGTCAATTCCTAAATAATAGACACCATACATGTAAGTAAATAAAATAACATGTAATATATATGAATATATAATATATTTTTGTCACATTGAAAGAAAAGATTGGCTGCTTTATTAAATTAATAATAAAATATAGTACAGCAGTTTTAATTGGCTGCAGAAGCCAATTTTTTCTTGATTACGATAGTCATACACAATAGCTGCTACGACCAAAAATTTATTGCACTGTCATATTCAACCAGCCGTTTCTTCCAGTGCAGGTGATTTAAAATAAATTGAGACTAAAAATAATGTTGAATAGTATTAAAATATACTTGTCTGTGAAGTGTAAGACACGGGTATTTGTCACACGCGTTAAGTTTTATTATGTCGCGTATAATATAAGTAACGTTAAGAGGAAAAAAAAACTTTATTTAATATTAATTTCTGCAGTACTTTTATCTTACAGGAAAACCCATTGAAATGTAATATACCAATCTAATTATTATAAACTATGAATATATTGTCTTATTGAGGAAAGTAAGGAAAACACATTTTATTTTAATGTGCCCTATTGCACGTTTACAGAATAATAAAACATCTCTTCGAAAATAGGTTGCCTTTCAAAGTTATAACTGTGAGAGATATAAAAAAAATGCTTGAAACTAAAGTTCAAAGCATTTTAAAGCACAATAACTCTGAAAAAATGGTTTAAATAACAAATTTTTATTTATAAGAAATTAAATTCAAAAATATTAACTTAGTTTTAATCATTAATTATCTTCTAAACCATTGAAATACTATTTTAAAAATTTATTTCTCTTTTTCATATTTCATTTCTTCTTTCTATTTTCTTTTTTAATAATATTTGCTTTATAACACGAAACTCAAACGGATTATTTTATTCCTTAAATGTACAATTCCGATTCATATAAAGAAATATGTTTTTTTATTTTTATTTACAAATCATATTAAAAACTTATCAAAATCAGAGAAGACATTTACATTTACTTTTTTAATAAAAGAAAAAATATTCGTCATGCGCAATAGAAAAAAGGAAAACAATATTCAATTACCTCTTTATGTTTATCTGGCAACATTTTTTCATACACTTTGTTAACAAGGTTGAAAAGGTCTATAACGTTTGATACGGTAATTGCTTTCCTTATTGCTGGAAAACAATCCATCTCGAGATTTTTCTCCCCGACATCATCAGCCAGTACTAAGAGATCTGCAATGAAAAGATATTTTAATCAGTGCAACTAACAATGTATTTTGCGTTATATTTAATTCAAACTCACCTAACAAGTCATGTACAGATGCTAGATCGAATTTGCCAGTATATAAATATTTAAAAAAGGTTTCATACACTGCATATACATAAATGTCACGATTGATGATGCTATGAAGGAAAAAATTCAAAAAAATGATATAAATCAATTTAATATTAAAAAGCTTTTAAGCAAATATGTGTTTTTCATACCTTTCTGTACTTTCAATGTAGCCGAGCAATGTTCTGAAATACGAACAACGAATCTTCAAGATAGACTTGTGGACGTAAATCATGGATCTGTTTCTGTTTTTTATCGTAAGGTCACTCGTTGACTTTAAAGGCAAGAAACAAGATTTGTTAAAGACGTCATATATCATATAGGTACATATTATTATCTAAGTATTTTCTTTAATTATATACACATAACTGATAACATATTATAAATATAATGTATGATTATACATAAATATGGTGTAATAAGGCTAAAAATGACACTTAAAATAGCAAATTACAAAGCGAGAGAAATTGTTATAACGTTGCAAAATGTGCCAAGAATTTACAAAGCTAATATAGTATGGAATTATAACGATCTACAATTGATTCAAATATTTACCAATCTTTTACCGATGACTTGCTTAAAGTTTTCAGCATGTCATCAGCTACAAGAGTTTAAAAGATCTCTGATATTTTTTTAAAATGGAAATTGAATTATAAATAGAATAGAAACTAACCTCATCGTTGAATGCAGCTTCCAAATCATTTAATATGTTACATTCCTCATCTGTAAAATCATGAACCATGGACATTGGTGAATGGGCATTATTTGTGTTGGATATGTCAAATATGTTCGTATATTCGCAGACAACATGGTTCCTCATTTCTACTTTACAAATTCGACCCCACAAATAAATAAGTCCATTTTCACTGGACTTGACAATGCTACAATTTGCCATGGTGGCGATATCTGATGCTTTCTTCATATTAGGTATATTCAACTGTCAATCATAAAATTCTCTGATATATTTTATATTTCAGAATACAATTACAGTAGCACATAATTTACCATAAATGGATGATGTCCGTAGAAGATGGATCTGCTATCTCTTCTATTAGGTACTAATTGCCAATGTTTGTTTGAACCCCACGCATACACTTTCCCTTTATCAGTCAAAGCAAGTGTATGATATTTTCCACTGGCCACTTTGACTAAGTATTAAGATTAGAGAAATGATATTAATCTACATTGCTTGCAGCCATAAATTTTTCGATATATCCATATGTTTCGCATTGTAAGAAGCGTATTTTAAGAAGAATTACCAATTGATTTGCTTGAAAGTTCGGTTATTTCCAATGGATTTCTTGAGAAGATATACATTTCAGGAACACCTAGTTGAATGTTCGCATTATGTCCCCAAGTGTATATTTTACCAATATTTGTTACCATCACAAAAAAGTTTTTTCCGCAACTCATGCTTGTAATCGTTTGATATTCATCTTTGATATTTATTTGATAAATACCCTGACTCTCTCTAAACCAGTGATTGGACATTTTGTAATATACCTAAATTAAATGACAAATATATGTTTAAATACAATCCGTGAGATTAATAATTATCATTGTTACTATTTATATATATATATATATATACTTTACCTTGCCATCATCAGTTAAAATGAGAAAAGAGCCATTATTGGTGTCACTTGCGGTTTTCACAATCCTTGTATTGCTCCAATCAAATTTATGTGGTACATAACGTATTGAAGGTTGTAACGTACTCCATATATATCGCTTGTAAAAGATAAGATGATCATAGATTTTATTCTATTGGATTAATTATAACAGTATGGTGCATTTATTTGAACATGTTAATGTCATGCATACACTGTAAAAAAAAGTACGTAAAATTACATAAATAATATGTGTAACAATTACACAATTTATGGTGGAAATATGTTAAATTGTGTGATTTTACAAAAATTAGTTCATTTTACCTCTGATAATGTAAATTTATCTTTACATTGTATGGAAAATTACAATTACAAATTAAGAAATTAATTTTCTTTCAATATAGAAAATTTACAAACGCGTGGAAGTTTACAACTATTATAGTGGGTCCCAAAATTACCCACTATGACTGTTGTAATTTTACATGAAATTTTTTTACAGTGTATATAAGGTCTCGAATATTCATTTCAAACAATTCGGTTTGATTACGGTTATAATCCGAAACTACTCAACTTTCGGTTTTGGTGTAAGTTTCAATTCTTTTAAGTAGTAACGGTAAATAAATATATAATTATCGAAAATTACCGAAACTGATAGTAATCAAGGATTAAAATTATACGTTTTCACGGAGAAAATTATACGTAACCCGTTGGGGATGTTTGTTATTATTCGATAATACGTTACTCAACAAAATTAAAAGATATTCTAGAATAGGCAAACTTCGAGGTAGAATAACTTCAACAAAAATCATCGTAAGCCTATTGCTCGATTACGTACAAACACTTTTAAGTACAAATTAAAAATTAAGTTTAAGTAAGAAGATACGTAATTTCTATTCTTAAAGCAAAGAAATATATTTTAAAGCAGAGAATTTGTTTTCAAACGGGGAATTTGTGTCCTGAAATAGAATTTGTGTTTTGAAATCAGAGAATAATAGAATAAATAGTATAAGCAATCAAGTAGGCAACATAATAAATATAGACAATCGAGTAGTATGTAGCAATATTTGTAGGCAATAATACATGTAGGTAAAAATAATATCGTTTCTGAAATTTTTATTTGTGCGCAGGTTTATGTAGACATTCGAGCTATAGGCAAATGAGATGTAAACAAACGGTGCAGTAGGCAATCAGTTTGTAGGCAAACGGGGTTTTCCTTCAAATTGTTATCCGAAATTTTTGTTGCAAGTTCCTGATTCTAATTACAATATATTTACTTTTTTATGGGATTATTAGATTGTATATTGAGAATTTAAGTATAGAAAACACACGTCATAATTTCTATTGTTCTAATTTCTATAATATAAAAATTAGAACAATATACATTATTTATCAAAGGATATAAATGTATACAATCTTTATTCACATTCCATATATTAAATAAATTATATTATACTTTATACTCTACATATACTTTAATTAATAAACGTTTAAAAAGTATTTTAATACAAAAGAATTAGAATAATTTTATATTTGTTGAATAGCGTTTAATATTGTTGAATATGGTATTATCTCATGATATTTAAATACTTAATATATACCTCTCCGTCTTCTGTTATCAAAGCAACGGCTGACAAACCGGGATGGAAAATTACTAACTTTATTTCTTTGGTGAACATATATTCCACTTTTGCTATTACGTTACCGTGAATGGGGCTTATAAAGCCCCAATTGTTCTCGCAGTACAGGCACGATTTCAATAGAAGGCTTAAATAAAAATAATTGCTATTATCGGATATGTATGACCGTAAATATTACATTAAGTATAATTAAATAAGTAAACATATTTTGTCTACTTCTTTCGCGCGAATATTAATAAATAATAATTTTAGAAATTCAATTAAAAATATGTAAATTGATTTAAAATAAACTTAAAAAGAACATGCTCTGCAACAGAGGGAAAAAATAAAGAATTAGCAAATGGAGATCGTAGATTTCCTCAGTTAGAAATTATATTTTTGAAATAATTCCTATTTTATTTCGGTTATTGCTCAAGTATGATTGCTTATGCTCTTTGTGTTCATAGCTTTAATGTTTCATCATGAAATATACTTTTTGTAACATATTTAAGAACAGTTATCCCGATACTACGTAGCTTTCGAAAAAAAAATGCCTTTCATTGTTATACATAATTTTAAAAAAGGTGATTATGTATAACTTTCTCAGTAATACACACTGGAATCACATATGCTCATGAAATAAGAATTTTAATTGATTATTTATCATATAATTTTTTTATGGCGCAAGAAGAGTTAATTGATTATGGAATTAGGTTTCTTTACCTGCAGCTGCACTGTAAGGTATTTAATCCCTACTTTAAATGTGCTCTCTCTCTCTCTCTCTCTCTCTCTCTCTCTCTCTCTCT